CTGAGTTAAATATGAGTGTCACGGCAAAGGGTCTGAATACTTATGACCATGTGATATTTCAGTTTTTCTTTTTTAATAAATTTGCAAAAATTTCTACATTTCTGTTTTTTCTGTCAAGATGGGGTGCTGAGTGTACATTACTGAGAAATAAAATGAACTTTTTTGATTTTTGGAAAATGGCTGCAATGAAACAAAGAGTGAAAAATTTAAAGGGGTCTGAATACTTTCCGTACCCACTGTATATATGTCTAATAGTCATTCTCAAACCATCTGAAACGTTATTTTTTTAATTCATCTTTTTATTCCAGGTTCAAAGAAATCTGAGACACTCACACAATCAAACTAGGAACCAAACAGGGAAAACAATGCTGCCACTGACTTCTTCGGACAGCAGACAACCTCTTTCCATTTAAGCTGAATGGGAAATAAACCCTCAGTGGAAGATTCAAGGCACTAAACTGACGATTGAAGCCTTCTTCTTATTGTAAAACAGCGAGAAATAGGTCTTTATGGAGACAAAGCTTTTTTATGACTAATCTTCTCATTTTAACTTGTTTGTTTTAATATTCTTTTATCATTAAAGTGTACATACTGGGAATTTTTCTTAATTTTGTCCTTTTCTGTCTCAGTTACATCATCCTTCAGGTTAATACCATTTCACATTACTGTTTGGTTGCTTTCTAATCTGCAGACTTGATATTTTATAATGTATTTCGTCATTAAAGACCATATATATATATATATATATATATATATGTAAAATGTTTGTCTCTTTAGGACAGAGACAGTAGTCCAGCATTTTGAGAAACACTGTGAAAGATCCAATTTTAAGTTGTTGAGGAGGTTCCTCTCATGTCAGATGATAAAGTGGTTAAAGATGTTTAAAAAATCACTCTCTATATTTTGATCTTTTTTTTCTATGCCAACTTTATGGGGCAGGGAATCTGAATATCCAGAAAAACATACAGCTCACTAATCATCCACTAATCACAGGGTTGGAAGATGGATCCCTGGCTCCTCGTGTCCACATGTAAAAGTTTCCTTGGACGAGACACTGAATCCCAAATTGTTCCTGAAGGTTTGACCTTCCTCAAGAAGTCATTTAGCAAAAAGTAAGTAGACGAAAAAAAGTCCAAATTTAACATCTTGTGCACTGTCTGATTTTTATAAAATAGCAGCAGATTGAAGAAATAACATTCTTGTGGATTCACTGAGAAGAAAGGGGGAGAGCATCCTTTGTTGTCATTATGTTTGTTTACTACAGTTTCAACCCCAAAAGGTAATACTTTAACCTTCACCTATATTTAACATTTATATGCAGTGTGTAAACGTTTTATAAATGTAGTTTTAAGCAGGTATCAGCACTTGTTAATATATTTGTCAAAAACGGTAACTCTTCCTGTGGGCACCCACAACTGGATGCTGGTGTACAAATAGATAATGAATAACTATATAGTGAAAATGCAGTTGTAATAATATAAAATGTTTTTTCATAAGAGAGGTTATAATTGCTGACAAATACTGCTCATTAATTAGAACTTCAAAATGTTCTTTTATCTGCATTAAATTGTGTTGTTAAATTATTGCTCCTAAATGCTTAACAGCAAGGGTTAAAGTGAAGTGTGACATGATATTGTGTGAGCGTTCTGGGTCTCTCAGTCTTATCATGTCTGAATAAATCTTTAAAGAACATTTACTTAACTGACACTTATTGTTTGTCTGAGTGACAAAGAAACAGCCTTTCACCTTAACAGATATATCTAGACAGCAATGTTAAGAGTACACTTTCTGGGAAGGGCTTTAGATTGTCTGTCAGGTTTTACATCCAAAGTTTAACTTCACTGAACTTTAACCTCTCAATAAACTGATCTTGCTTGTGCTCCAGCATTGACGGGATGGATGTTCTGTAGATGCCACATTTGGAAAGCAAAGAGAAACCTGAAGATCCCACAGGGATTGTTCAGAAAATAATCCCAGAAAACAAGATTTCAACAAGTCACAAGATTTATAGAAAGATGTACAAATTCTAAAGCAGGAAAATTTAGCTCTTTAGAACTTTTTCTTTTTTTCTGTGTTTTATGTGCACTTCATGATAAAATTCACAGAATTGCCTAAACTGTAGCTGTCAGCACAGGAAGCAACAGGCCTTTGTATCATTAAAAAGAAAGCCAAGCCCATTTCACACAGGGCCATCCTCTGTTTAATGACAGTAAATTAAAGTTGATAAAGCTCCCTGGAGTTAGAGGTAAAGACAAATGATTCTCTGAGACTCAGAGGATCATATGGCACTGTTTCCACATTCACCCTTTGCCATAGTATCTTAAGTTACATCCAAAAAGTAGAACATTACATACCATCATATAACATTTGATAACATCACTGTTATAGTGGTTGGTTTTATTTGATGGATGAGTTATTTAATTCAGAGTATCATACCACTGCAAAACATTTCTCTAAAATAAAATATCCAGTAGACACTCAAAACTGTTTTTTTTTTTTTAAGATCACTAACACACAACCAAACAAACAAGATTAGTCAGACCTTGACTTGAAGTCTGAAAGGCAGTTTTATGAGTGAATGTATTAAATAGAACAATCTACGGCAGGAAGGGACTAAGTAAACAGAAGCGCTGGCCTGGACCAGCAGAGGTCGCCATTTTCTCTCATCATATCCAGATTAAAGGAGAAGTCTGATGTGGGTCTATATTTTTCTTATTGTCAACAAATCCCATGAAAACACCAAAACCAACAATGACCAGATCATACTAGAAAGTATTACCTGTGTAGCCAAAGCATATTCTAGCTTATTCCTCTGTGTCATATAGCTTAGTTGTCCAAAAATCATTAAAAACACATTAATGAGCCACGCCGTCCACTGGGTGGCATGTTCCTTCATTACAATTAACGTAGCCTTAGTACTTTGTCTTGAGTCAATACAACGTGCATCGTCCTGCTGCTGGAAATACTTGCTAGTGCACCAAATGTGGATTAATAGTCCCTAAAAAATTCAAAGTTTCTCCTGTTTGAGAAATGTTTGCTAAAAACTACAGTGCCCAGTTTTAGGAAAATAATTAGCATTTTCTTTTAAGGGAAACTATATATAGACATTTACATTTTGAGTAGGAGTCAATGGTCTTGGAGCTGAGAGCCAGACATAGTTGGTTTTATGGTCTTTTGTTGACACAGATAAAAATGTGTAATATCACCAGCTTTATCCTTTAACCAGACAAACTCTGCAGGGAACAGCAAAGCTGACAGGAATCACACTGCTGAGTGACAGACCGTCAAATGAAAATACATCAATGAAAACACACTGCAGCAGGTGACATAACTCATACATTAACTAAAACTATCAAATTACAGTTATCTTACAATCTATAACCAGTTTCAACCATTTCAAATACGAACCATTACAGAAGTGCCCAGGATAGACGACAGCAGACATTTTATAGCACTAAAGGCCTCAGCATGCTTCAAATGAGCTGTTCGTTTGATCAGCTCCTCCAGTGTTTGTATGAATGAATAAACCTGTCAAGCCCTCTTTTTTTCACTTACAAAAGTGTGTGCTATTATCAACATTTTTAAAGCTCATCACATCAAGACTACAAGGTCACACAAAAGTGACAGCTATAAACAGTTTTGACTTTAGTTGTGGTCAGAGGACATGTCACACAAACTAGTTTGCTGGAAGCATAGTGAGACCTTTACACATTAACTAAGGCCCAGGTTCACTAAAGGTTTGCGTAAAGCATGCACGTAATTGTTACGGGGGCCTGGAGGACGCATCCCGTGTCCCGATGTACAGAAGTGGGAAATTTGACCAAAATCAATATAGGTTCAAACTCAAATTCTTTCCTTTGTTAATTTACACTCGGTTAGGTGGAGGCAGCATTCATTGTACTAAGCATAGTACCACAAAAGAAACAAAACAAGAAGATACTGTGTGAAGGTCTATATGTCCACGCACACCTTCAGGTGAAAATAGAAAACAGAAGCAATGGAAGTTTACAGAAAGTGGACTGCAAGGATGCGGGTTTGAGGTGAGCATTACCTAAACAACACTCAGAACTTAACAATATTGTCCGCAGCATGCTGTGTGTTGTATTGAAGTTCATTATTTCCGAGTTTGTCTGGGGCGAGAAAGAAAGTTTGTAGAACTGGGCTAGCAGCTACCCTCCACATCACAAGTATTTATATGTATTCCATACAAAATAACTAAAGATAATCTGCATCATCAGTACTCTGAGTTTGACAAGCAATGACAGCAAAGAACCTGACAACTAAACTCGGATTGGTGCACTGAAATATGTGACATTACCTTTATCCAACTCCCGCCCACCTCAAACCAGTGAAAAAAGCAAGGATGAAAACACAAATACAGAAATCTCTCATGTGAAATTAATTGTGTTCAGGGATTTGAAAGTGTTATTATTCAGATTAATTACAATTGAGTCTTATTGTTTTGGTTTCATATCAGTAAAAAAAAATTTGTACTCAAGTTAAATCCTGAGATCTGGGAACATACAGAAACTTTGCTAAAAAGAAGTCGTACAGGTCAAGAAACACGAGCAAATGATCAGAGCAGATGTAAAGAAGCCCTCAGACTAGTTAAACTTATCTTGGAAGAGGAAACAAAGGGCACAGTAAAATAATTAACCTATTTTCCATTGTAATCATTCATCACATTTAAATGTTTACCTACTTACCACATATTTTCTTATGCAGTGGTGGATAATTAGCAACACTTTTGATTTTACCAACAAATATAGTGAACTGTTTTTACGTCTGATCATGTTCCTTGACCCGTTTGCCTCTGTTGTTGCTATGTCACCATGTTCCCAGATCTGAGCTGTTACTCTGGTGAGTACAAGGTTATCATAATAGAGAGATATGATGGCCATAACTGCAATAATAGTGGTGCTCTGTATTGGTCACTCCAAGGTTTTTTTTGCACCAGTCATGAATATGCAGATGAAAGTCCTATGAAATCCCATAGTCCTATGAAATCCCATAGCTCTGGCTGCATATTTCTTTAGACAGACTGGCAGTAAGCAATGTAGGATTGCATCAAAGTCACTAACACAACACTAACTATAATAAGAACATGAAAACAGATAATAACAGCAACAACTGAGATCACTATAGTGCAGGATAAAGATGGCAAAAGGAACAGCTTAGCACACAATCTTAACAAATCTGGACCTGAATCCTTCAACATTTGAACAAATTAGTCTTGACAATATTAAATCCAACATTCCCACCAGTGTTTTGTTTTTGTATCTGTCGTGGGTGTGTTTTTCTGTGTATTCTTCATCGCTGAAGCTGATTTATGCAGAGAAAAGAGTCACATGAACAGAAATCAAACAGCTCAAGGCTGTCAGGACTTGCGTGAGCTTGAGTGTTGACAGCAGTGTGGTGTGTTTCTGTCCTCTGCGTGTGCTGCTGTTTTGTCTTAAGGGTCCATCTAATGTTAAGCCTGTAGTTGTTACCCTGTTCATAACAGGAACATTGTGTTCAGTGTACATCCTTCTCAAACAAAACAAAAATCTTCAAAAGCTTCATATGATACAGTTCATGTTTCTCAGTGATGATATACGGAAGGATTCCATGTGCGGTACCAGGACCTGAAAGACCAAAGACAGTATTATTCACTTATTATTCACTTGAAATAGTTTTTTTTCATTTTATGAAATATCCTTATTTGGTTTCTTGCAGAGAGTTAGATGAGAATATCTAGCAGCTGGTTAGCTTAGCTTATGAGACAGCTAGCCTGGCTCTGTCCAAAGCTAACAAAATCTGTCTACCTGCACCTCCAAATCTCCTTTTTGATCATTTGTATAAAAACTAAAGTATAAAGGAAACAATTTGTGTGTGTGTGTGTGTTCCTGGCTGGAACCAGTAACATCCTGGAGTTTGCGTGTTGCTTGAGCTTGTTGCTCAGTGTCGAAAAATAGTTCTGCGCGGGGCTAACAACACAAGAGCTATATGAAGCTTGTCCAATAACATTCGGAGCGTATCATTACATTATTTAATCCCATTCATGTGTGCGGGGAGCCAACAGGAAGTCTTGGGCAAGCATCCTCTCTACTAGCTCGGCTGAAGATGGGCCCTAGTGAGGATGCTCTATGGGCCCAAAAACACGGAAGCGTGAGGAAGCCTAGGGTGGGAATTAATGAGGCACTAATCTTTAAACTAGATATCCAGTTCTCCTTAATACATCTTGCTTTCGGAAACAAACTACATATTAAACTATTCCTTTATCAGCTGACACATTTTAAAAGCAACATGTTAAATTGCCTTTTCACAGCTTAAAGGCTCCATGTTCTGCTATCTTTGGTGTTTAGGTTAATGCTTATTTCTTTCTTACCCTGGTGTGCTGTAGGAAGCTGGGTTGACCTGAGACGTTAAAGAGACAGAGGCTGCAGACAGACTGTTGGGAGAAGCTTCACGGCTTACGCTGTTTGGAGAGGAATTTGATGAAACTGGAAGGAAAATGTTAAAAAATTAATGAACATGCACCCGCATGCAGAAACCCACATACATGGATCATAAACGGCACAAACCATTTGTTTTTGTTTTTTTATTAATGTGCCAATTAGTCTTGGATTGTGAAATAAGAGATAAAAATGTTATTTTGTTTCCAAAATCAAGAATGAACTTCCACACTAACTAATGTAAAATGCAACAGTAATATAGGGGAACATACATGTATCATTACATACAGTAATAGTTCAGTAGTTGAATGTAGGAAACAGTACTTGCCTCCGCCTGAAGCCAGAGGGCTGTAGGATCTGGACACTGAGGCCTGAAACAGTTTAAATGGATGAGGAAAAAGCCAACTTCACATTAGGACTGGAAAATATATTTGCTTTATCATCAACAATTTCCATATTCAACACTATATCACAAGAAATCTTCTGATTTCAACTGTTTTTAATTAAGAAGGTCAGCAGAAAAAACTCTGTGATTTACAAGAGCTAAATGTCTTCTTTAATTATTTATTTCATAAGCCTGGGGATGGCTTGCGTGTGCAATAACTTTTACTGAACTTACAAATGGCTTTTGTTTTTAATAAATAGTCTCCTTCAAGACTAACCTAAAGGAATAGTTCATCATTTTGGGAACGTGAATTATTTGCTTTCTTTCTGTGAGTAACATGAGAAAACACATATCAACCCACATGCAGGTGTATTAAGTAATGAGCTGGAGTCAGGATGTGCTAATCAGTGTTGTAATCAGCCTAACTTATCATAAAGACTGGAGGCAGGAGGAAGCTGCTAAACTTGCTCACACAACATATAAGTCCTAAAACCACAATTTCAGTTTGTGTGCAAATTAAACAAACAATATTTGTTTGTTTTATATTATATAACTGATGAGATTTAGATCTGTTGGTAGACATATTTTAAAACTTTAGACAGAGCGAGGCTAGCTGTTTCCCCATGTCTTTATGCTAAGCTAAGCTAACTAAATCCTGACTCCAGCTCTGCATTTAAGGTACTGGTGGCTGGTGCATTTTCCTCCAGGGGGGGGGCTGCTTTACCAAAAATCAAGCAAACATGTACTAAGGTATCTCATTTTAGCCAAAATCTAAGTAGTTTTAGTGCCTAATCCTAACCAAACTGTGACTGAAAAGTAAACTGAGTCTAAAATTAAATTATCAATTTAGACTTTTAGCTTCACATGGGACACAAAACCAAGTGTCCTGGTTGAAAGTCCTGTTTTTGACCCATTAATCCACCAGAACCTCCTCCCTATGGACTCACTTTTTTTATTACATCACCTGACTTCCTAAAGACTAAAGACCAGTTTTCACAATTTGTCGCTCTTCACCAGACTAGATATCGGCCGAAAAAGTCAGCACTCCACGAACACGACTTGACGCTGGGACTGATTAGACTATATTATTCAGAGCAAGGACACACTCTCTTGAAAATGTGTATAACTGGTAAAAAACTAATGTTGATAATAATAAATTAAATGTATTATTCTTTTTTTTTTTGTTGGAGGGTGGTGCCCTATCATCCTCTATTGGCCAGCAGCGGCCGCCCCTGACATAACGAGAGTGACTGAGTGAGTGATATTGACATTCTCATCTCACCCTCAGAAAAAAAGGAACAAGTGTATCTCCCAAAATAATGTTTTACTGTTTCTTCACCAAGCTGAAAAATATATGATAATATTAGCAGAGTAAATAGTAAAGAAGATGACCCTCTAATGTGACATATTTGTGCTTGCACAAGATTGGTGTAACAGTTAGTAGTTCAGTGGCTTGCACACTGGCCAGAATTTAACAAACACAACAATCCTACATGGTCTCATTTAAAAGAAGTTGATGATTTAGACAGCTAACCATTCTGGAGTTGTAGCTGTGTGATTTGACCGATAAACTAGCCACTGGGCAGTAGATCCTCTTCTCCTTCTGACGCCGATTACAGAACCAAACTCGAACCACCTCCTTCTCCATGGACAGCTGCTCGGAGATTAAGGTTATCTCCTCTGAGTTGGGCTTGGGGTTCTGAAAACGAAAAATTGTTCATGATTCCCTTCTTTAAATGTTAGCATGGGACGTCTTTAAGGTTGACAGCTGCCTGGCAACCACTGATGGCGTCCGTGAGTTTCATCATCAGGGTCTCTTGTTTATGACATTTTCAGTCAGACATTGATCTGGCCATCCTGCAACTAAAACTTTGTCAACTGTGGTAACAGTTTAAAATAAAGTCAGTATTACATCATACTGAATGAAACCTAAACAATCAGAACGTATTATGAATAAGTTTAGCTAATAAATTGAAGTTTAAGAAGGCACCCATTCATAAATGATAAAATACATAAAAACAGTTAGCTTGAAAACAAATGTGTAATTTTTAATATTTGTTTGAACAATGCATTATGTATGAGTAGGACATACTGGCTGGGCAACAGTTGTTCTACTGAAGGATTTTAATGCCACTGTTAAGTACAAAAAAAGTGTTCAACTTTGGTGCCCCCAGCAGAGTCTAGTAGGCTAATGCTAGCAGCTCAGGCACAGCGGTGCTCTGAGCTAAATGTTAATGTTAGCATATTCACAACAACAATGTAAAAATGCATGCTAACATTTTAATGATAAAATTCTAACTATTAGAAACAAAATTCACCAAGACCTGCCCTTAACTGGCACCGACTTATCTCTAAACTCAGGAACCTTAGAAACAGCTGTAGAACCAGATATATGTTTAGACTGTTTTGCTTCCCTCAACCTTTACCAACTAACTTCAATAATTTCTTCATCTAAACCATCAACCTGCCTCTTAGACCCCATCCCAACTAGGTTGCTTAAAGATGTTTTACCTTTAGTCAGCACTTCTATACTATATATGATCAATCTATCTTTATCAACAGGCTATGTACCACAGTACCTCTTCTGAAAAAGCCCAAACTTGATCCGGATGTTTAGCTAACTATAGACCTATATCTAACCTTCCATTTCTCTCTAAGATCCTGGAGAAACCAATTGCTAAACAGCTGTGTGACTTTCTACAGAGCAATAGTTTATTCGAGGATTTTCAGTCAGGATTTAGAGCTCATCATAGCACAGAGACAAAATTGAATGAAAATTACTAACGACCTCCTTATTGCATCAGACAAAGGACTTGTCTCTGTACTGGTTTTATTAGATCTTAGTGCTGCATTTGATACCATTGACCATCAGATTCTATTGCAGAGACTAGAACATTTCATTGGCATTAAAGGAACCGCTCTAAGCTGGTTTAAGTCCTATTTATCAGATTGATTTCAGTTTGTACGTGTTAACAATGAGTCCTCCATGCACGCCAAAGTTAGTCATGGAGTTCCTCAAGGATCTGTCCTCGGACCAATCCTCTTCACTTTATATATGCTTCCTTTAGTCAATATTATCAGGAAATATTCCATAAACTTTCATTGTTATGCAGATGATACTCATTTATATCTATCGATCAAGTCAGATGAAACTCATCAGTTAGCTAAACTTCAAATGTGCCTTCAGGATGTTAAAACCTGGATGACCTGTAATTTTCTAATGTTAAACTCAGATAAAACTGAAGTTATTGCTCTGGGGCCTAAGCACCTCCGTGACGCATTATCTAAAGATATAGTTTCCCTTGATGGCATCGCCCTGGCCTCCAGCACCACTGTGAGGAATCTTTGAGTTATCTTTGATCAGGACATGTCGTTTAAGTCTCACATTAAGCAAATTTCAAGGACCGCCTCTTTTCACCTACGTAAAATTGCAAAAATCAGGAACATCCTGTCTAAAAATGATGCAGAAAAACTAGTCCATGCATTTGTTACTTCTAGGCTGGATTAATGCAATTCCTTATTATCAGGCTGCTCGAAAAAGTCTGTTAAGACTCTTCAGCTGATCCGGAATGCTGCAGCACGTGTTCTGACAGGAACCAGGAAAAGAGATCACATTTCTCCTGTTTTAGCTTCTTTGCATTGGCTTCCAGTAAAATCCAGAATAGAATTTAAAATCATTCTTCTTACCTACAAAGCTCTTAATGGTCAGGCACCATCTTATCTTAAAGAGCTCATAGTACCTTACTACCCCACCAGAGAACTGCACTCCCAGAATGCAGGGTTACATGTGGTTTCTAGAGTCTCCAAAAGTAGACTAGGAGCCAGAGCGTTCAGCTATCAAGCTCCTCTCCTGTGGAACCAGGTTCCAGTTTGGGTTCAGGAGGCAGACACCATCTCCACATTTAAGAGTAGGCTTAAGACTTTCCTCTTTGATAAAGCTTATAGTTAGAGCTGGCTCAGGTTAGTCCTGAACCATCCCTTAGTTATGCTGCTATAGGCCTAGACTGCTGGGGGATTTCCCATGATGCACTGAGCTCCTCTCTCCTCTTCTTTCTCTCCCTCTGTATGCAACCTCATCCCATTATTGCATGTTACTAACTCAACTTCTCCCCTTTCCGGTAGTCTTGTGCTTTCTCGTCCCTCTCCTCTCTCCTATCACTTCCTGCAGGTGTTTCTGGCTCTGGATCTGTGGCTGCAGGTCACCTGCTGCCCCGTGTTCCTGCTTGACACCCTCTGCTACAACAACTATTGTTACTAGTCCTATTGTTATTGTTGTTATTATAATCATTAACATTACGATTGTTATCATTAACACTACTATACATATCTATACCATTTTTCATTTAGTCTATAGCAACATCACCTTTACTGTCTGTACCTGTGTGTGTGTATATTGTGTAGGCTGCCTCCCTCCCCTCTCTCTCTCCTTCCATCCTCTCTCTCTCTCTCTCTCTCTCTCTCTCTCTCTCTTTCTCTCTCTCTTGTTGGGCTTCTGTAAATAACATCACAGAGTACGGTCTAGACCTGCTCTTTTATGAAAAGCGCTGTGAGATAACTGTTGTTGTGATTTGGCGCGATATAAATAAAATTGAATTGAATTGAATTGAAAAGTTAGCGCTTAACAAAAACTACAGCAATGACATTAATTTTGCAAGTATTTGGACATTAACCAAAGTCTTTGACAAATTTACATTTTGACAGCGCTAGAGGAAAAGTGAAGGGATCAACAAAGTTATTACAATTCATCCTGAGGGGAACAGGGATGTCTGTAAACAAAACTAAAGAGCTGCATAGCTGTAACGTTACTGAGGCATAGAGGTACTTTGAGGTAAATGCTGAGGCTGATGGGAATGTCATTAAACTTTTTAGGTTTTTGGTAATAAACCAAAGTATTGGACAAATAAAAATTGTGACCTTAAGATGGCAGCAGATGAAAAGTTAAGGGATCAATGTGTGAACAGGGATTAATGGCAATCCAGACCTGGGTACACTTAAATGAGTGGTCTTAAAGTAACACATACTATTGAGGGCACCAATTTTGGCAAGGATTGTTCAACAAACAAAAACCTTTTGAAACTTAAATATTTTTTAATTTTAGTTTGAAAAATGCTATAATTACATTTAAACATTTGCTTTAATTATTATTTGAAAAATGCTATAATTACATTTAAACATTGTCTGTAATTATTATTTGTCAGTGATGAGTAAATTATCGAAAACATGCAAACGAGTTATTATATATAGAGAGAAACATAGAGTTATTTGTGTCTGTAACAGATAGAGATCAGGTGTGTTTGTTATATTAGTGATGTTCTAATCATTTACATATACACAACAAACCTTTCATGTTGTCTATTAATTGATATTGACTTTATAATGCTAATCAATCTATACACAATAAATTCCATAACTTAAAAGCTGAGCAGACTCACTTTGAAAACTCGTTAAATACTGATTCAGTCCTTAACTCACATCGTTGAAACGTTTCTCCAGAGTCATTTTGATGTTTGTTTCAATGCTTGTCCTCTTCTTTCGTTTGCGCCCGTATCCCTCGATCAGGGGCGCCAGAGACGCAGTGTTGCTCATCGAGTCAGAAGGTGAGTTCTCTAATGTAAAAAAAAATACAACATGGACATTCATCATCACTGCAATAAATTCAGGTAAATCATTTTCAATAAAATGCTAGCTTTTGTGCTGCAAATTTGATACTACAGATATGTTTATGTTTTTAACTTGGATATCGATGCAAAGTTTTTCTGCTAAACACCTTTTAAGGTTATCTCCATCATTTCCTTTAATCTGACTACTGCAGGTCCAGGTCTGATGTGTCTTGTTTTGAATGGCTGTAACATTGCTAGTTGATACCTCCATCCTCAGTCTAATCAATCATCTAATCATGCTCTTAAATGTATCTATGGGTACAAATAAAGTAATCTGAACCTTTCTCAGATGACAGCAATAAAACTCACTTAAGACATTTTGACATGTCATAGCAGGAAAACCAAAGGTGTAACTGCTAACATAAATAACGACTGCACTGCAGTTAGGTGCACTAGATCGAGTTCCCGCTATCCCGCTATGTGCACACTGGCTCACTAAGATTACACTTAAATGGAACTGAGCCATTATATTTATTACACCTGTGCTTTTCTTGTTGTAACAAGTGAAAGTGTCTGCTGTGAAAAAGGTCTATTAAGTTAGTGTACATTCACTGAATGATCAATTTTACGTCAACTGTCACAGGGTAAAGACACGGTGTAGGACATATATAATTAGAAAAGTCTGAGTAAGGGGATGGATGGGGGGCCAGTAAACCGGACCTTGACCCAAGAGACCGGTGTTCGGTTCCTGTGTGAGATAAAAATGTAATAAAACATTCAAAAATGTTTACAATGATATTTCTGCAGCAACAATACTTTTCCTCTATCATCATCAATTTGGTGATTGTGAATTTTTTTAGATTAGATGTCTGGATTTTTACCTAGTTGTTAATGGGGATTTAAATATTAATGATTTAAAAAACTTCCTTGAAAAATGTTTTGCTTTTCTTAAATAGACAATTTTATTGAATTTTGAAATTTCTAGCGCCTTTTCACATAAAGCCAGAATAATTGGTGGTACTGTAAAAGTAAAAAAGTAAAATAAAATGGTTGTGACTGTGTTGTACCTGCGTCACTCAGCCATTTTTCCAGCAGAGGCTTGAGTTTGCACATGTTTTTGAAGCTAAGGTTGAGAGCCTCAAAGCGAGAGATTGTCGTCTGACTGAAATCATTCCCGTACAGTTTTCCCATCGCAAGGCCCACATCTCCCTGTGATAAAAAACACACACACGAACTATATCACCATCTTATGCAAATGTCACAATATAGATAAGCAAAAATATATATGAGATTAAGATTAAGACTTTTTGTCAAGCTACTGTTTCCAAGATCAAGAACGAGCTAATATTCATTTTTATATTTTAAACAACAACACTAAATATTTTTGTTCATCTTGCGTCTTACTTTTGTAAATTTGTCCATCCTTCCTAGCAGTTTTCGTAATACTGTACCTCATTAAAATAATTGCTGAGATCTGGGAACACAGTAACATTGTCCAGCTGGGCAACAAACACAAGACGATCAGACAGATAGAAATCAATTAAATGGTTTGAATGTCTGACTGCTCGTGTTGTTTTTCTGATAGACATGATGGCCAATACAAATTGGACCGAGGTTGTAAAGCTTAAGTACTGCAGACCAGTCTTCCAGCACAAATCATAAATATATATACATAGAGGGAGCAACTTGATAAATACAGGACACAGGTGTGGTTGTTTGTCTGTGTATGTATGCTGTTTTATCCGCAATGTGCACTATTGGCCCAAGAACAATTTCTCCTTGGAGACAATAAAGTTTATCTCATCTCGTCTCATCTCACATAAACTTCTTAGGTTTGAAAATAAATGTTCTTAAAGACCCTGGAAATATGATTTCTAGGCCTCTTCTCTACAATCAAAGTTAAAGTTTGGGAGGGGGGTATTTTTATTTTTTATTTAGAGCTGAACAACCCCGCAATTGTCATCCAGTTTTCATTTAAATATTTTTAATTTAAATGTTGCTAAATCCTAATTGGTGTAAGGGAACATGTGACGTTTCCCAACTAAGCCACCTCCCCCCCCCAAAAAAAAAAAGAGAGAGAAACAAGGAAAATATATTAATACAGAAAAATGTAATGTGATTAACCAAAACTATTCAGATTTTGGCAGACAACAGTGTTCATGTAAGACCACATTGCTAATAGTAGGAAGCAGATGGCGAAAATGCCTTCAAAGGAAAACCTCTTAATTACCTGAGTAAAACCCAGTTTGATGCGTCTTTGTTTGAACGCTTTAGCAAACTGCTCCAGTTCTTCTAGATCACTGGGTTCTTCCTGTGGTGGTATTGACATGTGTTTGGGCATCTGCAGGTGGGACATGTCCATGTGGTTCTCCATAGAGGGTCCTGCCAGACCAGAACGATTCATTGCCTAGATAAGAGAAACGAAAATAAAGCACTTTAAAAGATGGTACGTGGAACATATTAGCAAACAGTTTCTTATTACACATCCAGCAGTTACAAAGCAACATCATCATTCATCTGCAGTTGTGTTTCTGGCCACCTGACGAATACTAATACAATGTCCACTCTATTTAGTTTGGTAGCCACCAACTCCTGAAGGAAATATTTGTCCCTTTAGGTGCAACGGGTGGTCACTAACATTATCTGTTGGCTAGATGGGGTACAGTGGGCCTTTTTGCTGATGAAAAGCCAAAGTAATGACTTAGAAGATGGTTTAAAGCTCCCTTAAGCTGTGGTGAATTGCAGAGTAGGCTGAATTGTGCAACCCCTTTCACATACAAATAGTCATGTGATCCATTGTTGATTCATTACAGCCACTTTAAACAGCACATGTCCCATTAGACAGTGTGACATTCTTGGTGCATTATACTTTGTGCTTATGTGAGTGGCCTGGATTCACCTGTGGAGTTAGAGCCAGTCCAGGTTGATGCTGAAGCAGACTGGTTTGACTCTGGCCAGGATGGGACAGCATGTTCTGCTGCAGAAGGGCTGCAAAGGAACAGTGGGTTTTAATCAGTTATCTGTTTGTGATTACAAGACTGACAGCTACTGCTGCTGTTCGTCAAGAAATAGATACAGCTTGCACCTTTTCCCAAATCCACAAATTGCAATTTGTATTGATTGCACTGTTTTGTTAACTCTTACTTCTTTCCCTAGGTTTTTACCCCATCAATGCGACATGTACTAGTATTTATTGCATTGTATGTTGTTCCTTAAATGTAAGTCGCTTTGGATAAAGGGCGTCTGCCAAATTAGTAAATTTAAATGTAAAATGTTTATAGTTTTTCTAGATGTTGCACTATTCCTTAAATACAACACATCCATGTTAATAAATACATTTCTGCTTCGTTACTGTGCCTGACCAAGTTATTTTTCTTTCTTTATACAGATTAAACAAACAAGATATAATGTGTTAATTAGTGAGATTTAGAGATACTGTAGGATGTAGGCAGATTTTGTAACTGTTGGACAGAGGTAGGCTAGCTGTTTCTCGCTGTTTCACCTGTATCCAGCTGCTGTCAATAGATTTATATTTACTGTACATGAGTTATCTTCTCTTCCTGCTCTCGGCCCAAAATCTGATTTAGCATGTTTCCCAAATGTCGGAAGAAAGCCATTTGAATTAGGGCACTGCTAAAATGTTAGAACTATAATTGGAGCCTCAAATAATTGAAAATAAATAAATCTAATTATTCAAGACATGTCTTGTTCCAGTTGTGTCAATTTTTTTGTTTGTTTGTGTTTTTAAGACCTGGGTGGCTGGTGGGGCTCTGGGAGAGCAGGAAGGGTGACGAAGATGACAGGTGAGCTGGTGGCATCAGAACCAGCTGCTGCATGGTGTGGAGAGAGGTGAGCTCCTGGAGCAAAAACAAAAAAACAACACAAAATTAGTCTTGACTCAAATGGATATTAAGCTTCAGTAGTTGAATTTGAAGTGAATATACTGCAGATGAGCACTCTGCAGTGGTGGAAAATACATTTACATAAACACTTACCTCCAGTTCTGAGGTACTTTAGATGAACACATTGATGTACTTTATAATTATACTCCACTACATTTTAGAGGGACATATTGTAAATTATAGCTTTAGTTACTAGTTACTTAGCTGAAAATATGATACATAGGATCGGCTTATAAAATATGATGATTATCTATAGATTAAACATCCAGAAGTTATGTAACAACAACATTGATAATTTAATCGTTTAATCGCTTTAGTCTTAGCAAGTTTCTCAGATACCAAGGTGACAAAATGCTGTTGTTTGTCTAACTAACAGTGGACTAATTATTCAAATAATTGTGTCATTACTAAATATAACACTGGAAAGGAAATTTCTGCATAATGAGAACGTTTACTTTTGATAGTTAAGTGAATTTTGTTGTGAAAACTAACTAAATTACCTAAACGGAAAAAAACTAAAGGTCTTAAGTACAAGTATGAGGTGCTTCAAATCAAATCATATTTATTTATAGTGTAAAATCAACATGCAGCATGGTCTCAATACACTTTCCAACGTAAGGGTAAAAACAGCAAGAATAAATAAATAAATAAGATAAAACAGCTGCATTTCAAGGCTTCAGATTAAGAGGATATTAAGGTGCTCGACCCAAAACGAATTCTAGGGGAGGCTGTAGTGATGTGAGAACAAGCAGGTTTTTCAGTTTTGACTTAAAAATATCCAAAGAACATGCTTCCCTAAATGTAGTGTAAGGTCATTCCATAAATAGGAGGCACTGTAAGCAAAAGATGATATTTTGTTATAGAGAGGTTTGACCAGGAGACCAGTGTTAAGAGAGTGAAGAGGGCGAGCTGGTGTATACGGTGTAATTAGCTCAGCTAGGTAGGATAGGGCAAGTCCATGCAAGGCCTTATAAATTAAAAGGAGGACCTTAAAGTCTGCGCTAGCTGGAACTGGTAACCTAAAACCTAAAACATATGACCAGCTTCTAAAATATGATACATTTTAGCATCATATCAAAACAAATGTCAAAACATTATAATCAGTGTTGGGGGCTTCTTTACTAAAAGCAGCAAAACCGCAATATGAAAATACCTCATTACAAGTAAACGTCTTGAAATGAAAATGTAATGTAAAGTAATATTAGCTAAATTAACTTCAAGGAAAAATTAAAAGTTCTCAAACAACAAAAAATACTCCAGTGACTGCTTTGCTATTATCTTTACTCAGGAGCATTTTAAAGTTGGAGCTAATTTGAATTATTTTACATACTGTAGTGTATCATATTTCATAACCTCATTGTACGTTATATGTGTAAAATCTGTGTAAAAAAAGTAACTCTATTTCCCTCTGAACTGTAGTGGAGTAAATAAAGTAGCAACAAAAGTACCTATTTTTATTTGCAATAAAAATTAAATGAATTTACTTAGTTACTTCCAACCACGGATTAAAATGCTGTTTACATGTTAATGCATCTGCAGTAATAATTCAACAATATTATATATAATAATACAGCACTCTGAAAGGGGCTATACTGCATGAGGAGTGCCTTTACTTATGGTATTTTATTTTAAGACTGACATCATAAAATAAACCATGTGCAGGATTATTTGGTTAATTTTTAGCATGTTCCAGTGATTTAGAATAGCACTCTTATGTGCTATTCAAAACAAAACATTTTTGAGAACAGTTCAAATAATTGCAGCTGAGGCCAACATATCCTCACTTTTAGTCCCTAAAATCAAACATGCTGGATCCTATGTTTCCAATTGTTATGGCAGAAAATTGTTTCCTCTTACATTTAATCTTTAACACATTCATTATTACTATTATTATTACTATTATTGTTATGTCTTATAGGTACATTCTATCTCGGACCTTTCCTTCTTCTGTACCCCTCATGTTAGTCTGCCCACATTTACTAGGGTTCATGTCAGAGGTATGATATTGTTTTGGTGTTTTCCTTACTTGCTGTTCCTCTCTTCTTCTTGAATGTTCATTCAAGGATGGGAGAGAATCTCTGTTAGCCAAAAAATAAAAACCTAGACTATGTAAATGATTATGCATCCCCTTGCTCTGGGCCAGATGCCCGAAGCTGCCCTAGGCGGCAGGTCTCTGGAACAACTGATTTTCTAATGTAGTACTTCTCTGTCATTCTCTTTTTTACTCTTTTAACGGTTAGTTTTTACTCAATTATTTGACCTTTACTTATAACAGAGTACTTCTACACTGTTGTGTTTCTACTTTTACTTAAGTTAATCAGAATACTTCTTCCGTCACTGCCACTCTGTGAAACCCGGTCTCTAATAAAAGGCTCAGACAACATGCTTATAAGTAAAATAACCAAAGTTATTGAGTGAGTCAAAGTCTTACCCCAGTCAGCTGACCTCCAGACATCGGCAAGCTCTGTGTCAGGTGACATGTCTTCAGTGTGGAGGCTGAATGAGGAGAGTCGTTGATGTTCTCTGTCTTAATCTAAGACATTGAAAGCACAATGTTAGCTCAAGTGTGAGTGAATAGCTTAAATAATAGTTTTGTAGAGCTGAGAAGATGGGAAACATTGTCTGCGCATAATCTCGGGGGCAAATGAGTGCATGTTTACATGTGTCTGACTATGTGTGTGTGCTGTGTGTAGAAACAGTGCACACACACACGCTCACACACATCACTCCAGGACCAGTTTGGTCACTAAACATGATACAAAGAGTGATAGACTCTCTCCCTCCCCTTGGGCAAGCCATTATGCAAATAACCCCCTCACCCAACCCCTGAAAGCCATGTCACTTCCTGAAAACACAAGCACTGAAAGAAATGTCCTCATCCACCAAAAATAATGTTTGGATAAGTAGCCAAATAGCTGCAAACTATTTGAGGTGTTTCTAAAGAGATGGCAGTCATTATTGACACCTATTGGTGGAGCCAGTAGTTTATCCTGAGGATGTTAGTGTCAGTACCATTCACATGGCTTTAGGTTATTTATATTCCAACTCAGCTACTTTACTTTTTTTTAGGTCTGTTAAAGGATATAGAAAGTCTTGTGATAATCTATATTTGTTTTTTTATGAACAAATCCCATGAAAATACCAAAACCAACATTAAATTTAGCCTACTAAGAAGTGTTGTCTGTGTCAACAAATGCGCTATTTTTCTCCTGTTTTAGTAACATTTGCATTGTGTCCTGCTGTTTTAGGAAATTACTGAGCCTTTTACATAAAAATATTATTGTGGTGGTGAGGGTACAGTGGGTAAGACACCTAACCTCTAGTTGCTCCTGAGACGTGATACATAGAAGTTGTAAGTTGCTGTGGATAAAAGTGTCAGCTACATGAGTGAATCTAATGTATATCTTTGGTCAAAAGTTTTTACAATTTCAGTCCACTAAAAACTGTTCAAATTAATAAATCTGACATGAAAAACCAGTCTGGTTAAACTGCTTGTAACTGGAACAAAGGTTTGCAAGAACTGGTAGCTCTGAAAAGTTGGGTACCATAAAGGTTGGATTGTGACCCACTAGAGCACCAAATGTGTATTAATCCACAGCTAAAATACACGTACTTAAACACTGTTGGTTTTGGTCTTTTTATGAGAACTGTAACAACACAGTGACAGAAATATAGAAATATAGACTACAACCAGACTTATCCTTTCAGATCTGGTGGCTTGGTTGAGTCTTTACTTTCACTTGGTGTTCCTGCTCCAATCTGCTGCTCACAGCGAGTCTCCCAGTCAACATTTACTGGCAGTTTCAGTTATTTAAAAAGGAAAGTGGCTTAAATAAAAGTCACACATGGTTATAAGTCACATAATGATTTCGGCAAAGATGAAAAAGTGAATTTGATCCATGCTTGCCTTTAAAGGACGGCATGAAAGTGTACACACGACACCAGTTTCACCCACTGCGTACAAACATTACTGTGTGTAAGTGTGCCAGCTAACAGGAATAATTTGCTCCAACCAAACAATATAAATCCTCCTGATGACAGAGGCCTCATTCATAAAATCCTCATTCATTTAAACACAACAGTAAGTTGCAGTAAGAACTCTTTTACTCACTTGTCGATTGAAGTCGATCCCGTTTTGCTCTAAATATCAGAGAGAAAGAGATTGAGATTTTTAAAATGTCGCCCTGTAGTTTCTTAGGACATTCAACTTCTTCAAAGCGACACAGAACAAATTCATTCAAGATATTAAGTCTGTTAGCATGAAGTGTATCCACGTGCATGTGAAACATGATTTCAGTGTTGTATTTTGATGGTTTGGGTTTCTACTCTTATTTTACCCCTAAATCTTCCATCTTTTTCATGGCTGCAATGACATAATTCCAAATTGCATCAGTAAGTTTTCATCTAACTTTATTTCCAATTAAATCAACCTGAACAAAAACAACTGCTGAAAAACTAAAACTGGCTTTTTGGGCTTTTGGCAGTAGTTTGGTTTTGATTTGATTTATTTACAAAAGACACCACTCCATAGGAAAGCATGTCACAGTAAGAACACTTATTTCTAACACGGTCCCAAGTTAAAATGTTAAAAGACAGCTATAAAACATGTAAAAGCAGAATCTTAAAACCAAAACTGTATCAGTGCAAGGTATAAACATAACCAAAACACAAACCACATCAATCCACCTAAATAGAATAACAGATTAATCCATAGATAAGATGACTATTGATAGATGACTATATATGACTACACTTATTTTTCTCAATCCTATATTATTAGCCAGAAGGAAATGCAAAGAGTTAAATGAGAAAATAGATCAATAAAAACAAACAACTAAAATCTTGACTAGAAACTGAATTTAAACTAAAATCCAGGACCATACTACTACATAAAAATATACACAATAGAGCCTTGTAATCAATAGTGTTTTTTGTCATATATTGAGAAGGCAAGGTGCCTAATTTGAATCACATAGATGAGTATTAGGAACAACTATACAGTGACTCTGTATATACACACACAGTTACGTACAGGTCTGTGAAAAGAAATGGGAATCTATTCACTGCACTGGCTGCTGACTATTCACACACAGAAGTGTGTATATAAGTATTTTCAAGAAGTGCAGTTTTCCTCCTGAAGTGTACAGCGTTCAGTGAGTACATGTGGAGAGGACAGGGAGATGGCCGACAGAGGAGGAGAGCTCAAAGGTTTGGTGGATAAGCTCCCATCATTTGAATATCAAATTGGACCTATGGTACTGTGTGTGTGTGTGTGTGTGTGTGAGAGAGAGAGAGAGAGAGAGAGCGGCAATGAGCTGGTAGAGACACACAATGCAAATTTACCCCTCCACCCCCTTCACTCACTGCCACCCCACTATGTCACCGCCCCCCAGCCCAACCAGCTTCAGAGCCAAACTTCCAGTATGGAAATGACCAAGACATGCAAATCAGCTCTGAGTGCAGGAAGCCTGTGTTAGAGCTCTGTCTGCACACACACACACACACACACACAGAGGCAAACACACTCAAAACGATGGCTACACACAAAAAGTCAGTCAAAGCGCTGCAAAAAGTCTCCATTTTAATCAGCTGTCTCATCTTTTACTCCATCTGTTAGTCCTAAAACCTAAAAAGTGAACAGAATGCGATGAATAAACTGTACTGGGAACAAGTGGAGTGATATCCTCCCTTTGGCTCACTAATCTGTTTACTGTCAGTTAGACTTGAAGGCTGAATATGATATTTCCGCAGTAGAAAATACCCAACACTACATCACAATAGTAGTGTATACTGCGTGTGCTATTATTCTAATTATATCAAACTTGTGATGTTGGCATGCTACTGATATTTAAAAGATTTCTGGTGTTTTTCTAATTGTCAACAGTGTCACTGTTGAACAGTATTGCCCCACCAAACAAAAGATCACTGCTCACTCTTAAACTGCATAGGGATTATTTTTTTAAATGAGCTTTTTCTGTTTTCATATGTTATTACATTTCCAGTTGTGGGTTAGTGTAGAGGATAGCATCTCTATATTATCCAACACAAAAATGCAAATTCAAAAATGTGAATTCAGTGACAGTGTTTTTACAAAGATGTGGAGCAGCACATCAATGTTGATTTGTATCCTTGTTGTCAGACTGAAATCTCACAAAGCAGCACTGTCTCCTAGAAATCATGCTTAAATACAACTAAACTGCAACAGCAAATATGTTTGGAGAGAATCATTCATCTGAATCATGTATTTTATCAATACAGTGAAGCAACATTTTAAATAAAAGTACCTGCAAAGTTCCACAATATATAGAACGTATTTGTGTTTGCTTTGAGTTTGTTTTCTCAACAATATTCATTTTTATAAACTTAAGCATGATTCAACTTTTTTATGTTTCTGATCAGCCACTCATGGCACTTGGCGAAAGTTAGGGAAAGAGCTGAAAAAGTCAAAGGTGGCTTACGGCATGATGCAGGATGTGTTGATGTTATTAAAATATAACCATGGTCTTTTCCTAAAGTTAACCGTGAAGTGCTTTTGTTGGCTAAACCTGACCAGACACAGGACTCAGAAATAAAGCTCAGTCTGTGATGTCAAAGTCCTGCTCTTTGTACGTCCACCATCCAACCCAACTACCAGCGACTTGCATGTGGTGCAGAAAAGTAGTTGTTCTTAAAAATGTGAAAATCAAATGTGAAGCACAGCTGTAAACACAACAACTACAGATTCAAAATTTTCCTTTGGGGAATAGTTCAGTATGTGTCCTCTGCTGTACTTGATTTCCAAATACTTAAATGTTTGAATAGTCAAGGGTTCAGTTAATCCAAATTACAAAAAAAAAAACTAAAACATTGTCTCACTTAACTTACCTCTAGTGGTATGTCTCCATGCAGATAGTTTTGGTTTTATTTGTTTAGGTATGTCTCAGATTTCTGTTTATATGCCAATACAATGAAGGTGAATGGAGTTTAGTTTGTTGTGTTCACAGCGATGAACAATTACATGTGAAAAATTCAACAGCAAAATGTATTTTCACAGAAAATTTTGCCGTAACGGTTTTAATGGAGACAATTTCTTCAGAAGAAAGAGGTCCCAAAGAAAACTGTGAGGCCTGTGGATTATCCAGAGTAACTTGGAGACTTGGAAAGACACATTGCTGTTCATTATTTTTAATGTCACTTTTCAATGCGGGGAGAATTACAGACTATATTGCATTCACCTCCATTGTACTGGAGTGGAGCCAGTTACCTCAAAATAAAACCAAAACTATCTGCATGGAGAGATTATGTAGATGAACTACCATTAAAACAGCCAAGCCTCCTAATGACTAATGAGAGCTGCATGAAAATGTCTTCCGAATGAAATTTAGGCTAAACAAAAAAGCAGCTGTGGCGCCTATCACATCTGATCACATACTGACAAAAAGAGTCACACTGGTCATATAATACATTTAGCACTTCCACGAAACAACACATGCTCACTTCTCTCACACAGCCATTGTCTAAATAAAAGTTCCACTTTTTTCTGTTGCTGGTTCCTGGTTTTGTGTTGTGGCTGGTTGGTTGTCTTCAGCCCCCGGGCAGCCAGTATTTCTCTGCAAACAGCCTCAGGTGCATCCTGGTATAGCGACCAACTGCCACACACACACTCGCACGCACAAACATGCACACGGTTCCCTACACAACAGGAGTAGGTCAAACATGCTGCTTGTTCAATTTTTATATGAAACATTGTCATGCATTAGATGGACCAGCATGAGGATAATGTGCTACGTATCCTGAACCTGGATGGAGCTCCTGCTGTGAAAATTTATACTTAAAAACAGCAGCAAATGTTTCTAACAGCACCAAGGATCATTCAACTTTGATAAAGCCTAGAACCAAAAAGTCTGTGTGTATTATTTATATTATAGGATTAAAAATGTTCTTAAGATATTTGACATATTTGAGTCCAACAAATATCTTCTCAGATTATCCAGACAATAGTATATTGTTTTTCCAGTAGAAAAGCCATATTAAAACTGACACTTAAGAAAAAGCAATCACTAATAAGCTTTCTATAATATCGATTTCATGTTGACGCTGAAAAAATATGAATCCACAAAGGAACACATAAAAAAAAACGAGAGAGAAAATCAACTCTTGTCTCAAATGTAAAGACAAAATAAACTCTTTCTGTGGACCTTGTGCCTCAGCAGCAGTGACAGAATAAACAGCACACTTTTCCTGAGTCACTTCTCTTGAACTTGGTGTGTGTTGAGATGAATCAGCGGTGTTTACATGCGCCATGAGGAAGGTGAAATATCCTTACCTGCCTGTTCAGCTGGAGCGTCTGACTGCTCCACCGTGTCTGCGCTCATCTTAATATCTGTAATGATAAATATCGCTGATTTTCCTACAGGATTGTAACTTTACCAGGACAAAGAAGCACTCAAGCCACCCAGGAAAATGATCTTGAGTTTATTCTAATGCGCCCTCCCCTCCACACCAATGCAAAAAAACTTCATACACTCCCGCGTGATCCCTAGTTATAATATTCATAAGCAAGGCAGACATTCCCATAAAGCACTGTCATAGTCACCTCCATATGAAGTAATCACACAGCACATTAACTTATTCAAACTCATATGTGTGATATGAAATACTTATAATAAGATATTAAAAAGTTATTGATCAGCCTGTGTAGGAGGAGGGATTTACCTTAGAGAAACAGTTTGTGTTGCTCCAGCTGGCGTCAGTCTCCTTGATTATTCAAAGTTAAACTCTTATTGGGATAAAAAGTTTTGGAAATCCACGGCTGCTCATCAGCATTTTCCTAAGTGGAGAGAAGCTCACCTCTGCAGTACACCCAACACTGCCTGATAGGATGATTTGCATATGCCTGTGTGCGTCCTATCCAGCTTTAGACTGTTTGCATAAAACAACAATAGGCTTACTGCAAATTACAGCGTTTCTGTGTGTGTGTGTGTGTGTGACTGAGTGTGACCATACTAAAAGAGTCATCCTCAGAGTTGCTTTGGATAACAGGATGATGTGTTATTCCTTCCACCCGAAGTAATTGGGTGTGTGTGAGTTCTTACTTTTATTCTACCTGATACATCAATGATGGAATGTGATAAAGTAAAGTCACTTAAGTATTTTAAAATTTGAGGTATTTTACTGGAGTATTTCCATTTTACTTCTACCCTATTACATTTCCTTCAACAATATTGTAATTTTTACTCAATTACATGTGTTTTACAGTTATAGTTACCAACTTCTTATCATACAGCAGCACTCATTGGGTGAGATGTAGGTTCTTTACTTAAGTACAAGTAGAAATACTACATTGTAAAGTACCGTTAATCCTCAATACAGTTGGTATAGCAAGTACAGAAGGATTAGCTAAAGTATTCAAAGGAAAACAACTCATTATGCAGAATGACCCCTTTTTAGGGCTGGGCTAAAAATATCGAATTAATCACATTTATCAGTTAATTCTTCTGTGATTCTTAAAATCCAGAAATAAATATTTCACCTATGAATGTGTACATTTGTGCAAAATGTTATGTTACTTGTTAAACCCACATGGCTACCAGTTATTATAGCATGCCATAGATAGTCTCTCCCTCCTCTACAGCCACATCCCCTGTTCCCCTTTATTGCCATTTCCCATCCATCCAGCAGATGCCCTCAGACTTTCCCTCCTGTCCCCATCACCTGACTGCCCCACCCATCTGCACTCTTGTTCCCACTTACCTCATGTGCCCTTCGGTTTCCTGGCTTTTCCTGCCCACCTTCTCACTTGCATATCATTCCCTCGATAGTCACACACTCCAATTAACAATCCACTTAAATTTTTCCACGTCAGATCATCCAAGTTACAAAGTTGCTTTCGTGTGTTGTGTTTTTGCTTTTAAGCTTGTCACCCAAACCTTAACCAAACCTTAACCTGGACCAGAACTTGTCTGTCTGCTTACCTACCTGTGCCTTGACAATAGCGTACAAAAAAAAGGTTTCTTTCATGATGGTCGAAAAACTGATGTGAATTGTTACCTTGTTTCCTATTTGGGTTCGCAATTATTAACCAGAAACTGTTAAGAAAAATGTAATCTATAATCTGCACTTTATACAATTTCATACTTAGAACAGTTTTGCTTTCTGTACTTCTTTCATCAAGAATCGAATTGTGACATCAGTGACAATATCCAACCCACACAACCTTGCATTTTGATTCAAGATGTTTTGCAAACAAACTGGCTCAGCATATCATCTATTTTAATTTATAATAGGCAGAACAATTCTAATATGGTCTAAACACTTAATAATGACAATCCTGTAATGGTTACACTATAACACAGGCACTAACTTCCTTATAAATCCACTGAAATCCACTAGATCTGCTTTATGAAGAGCTAGTTCCCCAGCTCCCTCAACTTTCCATCTCCATGCAGAAAAGAATTTCTCAACGTGGATGGGCAGCAAACCATTCCCTAACTATATTTGAACGATGGAAACATACGTTGGCAAGTCATTTCTTATCAAACCCCTCTCATTTGCAGGAATAAGAAAATAAAGACCCTGTAAAGATTTTACAGGCAGTTGAAGAGATGTTTGGGTGTTATAGGACCCAATGATGGGAATGAGGCTGAATACACCATCCTCACATTTGGCAGCACACTTTGTAATGCTCCCTCTACGCTGGCTGGCACATCAACATTTGCTCTGTGACCAATAATACACTGCTAAAAAAAAAATAAAGGGAACACTAAAATAACACATCCTAGATCTGAAATGAATGAAATAATCTCATTAAATACTCATTTCTTTACATAGTTGAATGTGCTGATAACAAAATCACACAAAAATTATCAATGTAAATCAAATTTATCAACCCATGGAGGTCTGGATTTGGAATCACACTCAAAATGGAAAAGCACACTACATGCTGATCCAACTCTGATGTAATGTCCTTAAAACAAGTCAAAATGAGGCTCAGTGGTGTGTGTGGAGCGAGACATGATGTCCCAGATGTGCTCCATTGGATTCAGGTCTGGGGAACGGGCGGGCCAGTCCATAGCATCAATGCCTTCCTCTTGCAGGAACTGCTGACACACTCCAGCCACATGAGGTCTAGCATTGTCTTTCATTAGGAGGAACCCAGGGCCAACCGCACCAGCAGATGGTCTCACAAGGGGTCTGAGGCTCTCATCTCGGTACCTAATGGCAGTCAGGCTACTACCTCTGGCGAGCACATGGAGGGCTGTGCGGCCCCCCAAAGAAATGCCACCCCACACCATTACTGACCCACCGCCAAACTGGTCATGCTGGAGGATGTTGCAGGCAGCAGAACGTTCTCCACGGCGTCTCCAGACTCTGTCACGTCTGTCACATGTGCTCAGTGTGAACCTGCTTTTATCTGTGAAGAGCACAGGGCGCCGGTGGCGAATTTGCCAATCTTGATGTTCTCTGGCAAATGCCAAACGTCCTGCACGGTGTTGGGCTGTAAGCACAACCCCCACCTGTGGACGTCGGGCCCTCATACCACTATGTTTCTGACCGTTTGAGCAGAGACATGCAGGTCATTTTGCAGGGCTCTGGCAGTGCTCCTCCTGCTCCTCCTTGCACAAAGGCGGATGTAGCGGTCCTGCTGCTGGGTTGTTGCCCTCCTACGGCCTCCTCCACGTCTCCTGATGTACTGGCCTGTCTCCTGGTAGCGCCTCCGTGCTCTGGACACTACGCTGACAGACACAGCAAACCTTCTTGCCACAGCTCGCATTGATGTGCCATCCTGGATGAGCTGCACTACCTGAGCCACTTGTGTGGGTTGTAGACTCCGTGTCATGCTACCACTAGAGTGAAAGCACCGCCAGCATTCAAAAGTGACCAAAACATCAGCCAGGAAGCATAGGAACTGAGAAGTGGTCTGTGGTCACCACCACCCTTGCTCTCATGTCTCGCAAAAGTACCTGCTGGCCAGGAATCAAACAGTTATACATGTCCCACACTGTGCAACACATTCGTCATATACAGGTTGTACTTGTCAATACTGAAAGACAAGGAGATTACAGCACTGTGTAGTGTAGACTTACCTGTACATACTGGTACCTCATCTCCTTTACTTTCTCACGAGTCCTCTCAAAAGGTACATCGTAGAGTTTCTTCATTGCAATGTGATTTCTCTTCAGTACTCGATCAATTGTGGAGAGGCTAATGGTGTGGACATTTTAAAATATGCCGTCATCTTGTGTGACTTGAATATCATTTAGTGTAATAGCATTGTTTGCTACGACCATATTACAAATTTCAGCTTCTTGTTGAGCAGTAAACACTGATCTCCTGCCACCACCACGGGGCAGACGCTCAATCCTAGACAGAAAATACATGTGTGTATTATAGATATATTCTGAGACACTGGTTAAGTTTACTGGAATACCAGTGAAGGCATTTTGCAGTACAATATTTGATTACATACCTGTTTTCTCTCCTGAATGTCTGGACTAGTGACGACAACGTGGACGGGTCATATTTAGGCCATGGCTGATTATATGGTCTATAATTGTTGTGTGTATCTCATTTGAGATTTCTCCATGTCTTTGCCTTTCTCTGGCTCTTCCTCATCCTCTGTGCCCCCCTCTCCCCCTCACCATACCACCCCACGCTCCAGTGCCACTTCCTCTTGCACAGGCAGACTCTCTCTACTGCATGCTCCATATCCCACAGCCGTAACATTCAGTCTTACCCTTGCAACATAAACGTGTTTGAGAACCGATTGGTTATGAGTTTCACCTGTCAGCTAAATTGGACAGCAGTTGTGTTTGGTCGCTCTAAATCATGAGGAAATTGAATTGTTCCCCATCTAGCCTAAGTCTCTCCATCTGACAACTTTTACAACAATTATAACTATTATGTATCTAATATGTGTGTGACAGGATATTGTGATTGTTGTTTGCTCTATTTAGCATGCAGGGATTTACACAATGAACATGTGTATAATTGCTTTTGAGAGTAATGTAATTCAATAGCAAATGAATGCAAACTATATTGATGTACAAGGCTTTCTTGCTGCAATTTGTGCCAAAGCAATTATAAATGACTATAGTAATGTGAGCAACTGACCTGATGTTCATATAAATAGTCACATAGTTTAATAAGTTTTAAAGTCATTCAACGATTGTGCCAAAGTGATGAGAAAAACTGTATCATACTCATGGCAATATAGAGCGTGTTGGAGGAGACTGGCTCAAATAAAAGGAGAACATGCAGACAACAAAAGCAGCAGGGCTGAGACTGACATATTGTGCCAGATATAGATCTGACAATGTGATGACCTTAGTATGCAATGGTTCCTTTATAGACACTGACATAAACAAAACATTCAGAGGTGTCATTTACACTGGGGACGCTGGGGACATGTCAGCAGAGATGATATTACATGAAAAAAGTTGATTTATGGGAGAAACAGATCTGAAAGCAACACAGATTGCCTGAGAGCTGCACTGCTTTCTATTATATTTATATATTTTGAAATGTCACATGCTAGCTACCTGAATTTTGTGTTTCCTATGAAATAAATCAAAACATTTCCACCATAAATTGGTGCAGAAACATTAACCAAAATGCAGGAAATTAAGTGTTTAGTGATCAAAATTTCCTGGGGGAGGTACCCACAGTACCCACGCCTATATCTCGTTATTGAGGATATTTTTAAAACACTGTTTAAGGATGTTTACGTCTCATTCTCATGAACCTAATATCGCGTATTGTGATGTCTCGCTAGCCAAGTGTCTCTTCACATCCCTAATCTGAGCCCCTATGTCCCCACCACTTTTCCACACAAAATGACGCCTTTGCACCTATTGATGAATGAAAGTGTACTTTCAGGTCAGTCTATATTTTGACGAGTTTTAATAACAGAATTCATCGAAGGACTGGCAGGATGTGGATGCAAAGATTTTGCTTGACCAAAACACTTCGAAAAGGCTAGACATACTTAATAAAATCAGGTCACAAAGAGTGAGTATGTGGCTCTTCTTGGTTATGTGGTCTAAACTTCAGAATCCATTCTTCATTCAGCATATCTCAAGAACTTGAAACACACAAATGTCTTGACTTTTTAGAGACACATGGTTCTCACAGGACAGTGATGCTACAAACATATGACTTATAGAATATGATGCACTTGTGTAGATTAAATGACCCAACAGTATATAAAGAAGTTAAAGCTAGCACAGTCCTTTACATCTACATCAGTAAAATGCAACATACATATTAATGCAGCAATAATATTAATCCTGACGCATGGTTGTTGCACAAACTGCTCAAAATTATGGATAACACTACACACCTCTGCATGAACTACTTGATCGGACCACAAAGTGTCTTCAGTCACCAACTCCTTCAGCTCCGCAGTAATAAGGACCTGTATAGGCAGTCATTCCTCTTAACCTCCCTCATGCTTGTTTACCACATACCTTATGGGGGTTCTGTGTAGGCTTTGTTGTATATCTTTCATAACTATAATTGTGTGTGTTCATTTTAACCAATGCAAACTGTGACACTGCAATTTCCTATGTGCAATGATTAGGCCTATTACCCCTCCCTCACCCCTACCTTTCCAAGCGGGCAGGTGAAGCTACAGTGGCCGACACGCTCTGTCGGCTCTTGTGCTAAATAATACATGTGGTCCTCCATTTGTCCAAATTTCACTTCTCCTCTTTTTTCTAATAAACCAGTCAACTACTACAAGTATTAATACTACTTCTTCTTCTGCTTATTTAGTGTACGTATTCAACATAGTGATAAAACACGCACTGTAGAGTAGTTTGTCCCTTACAGCTACTGCAGTAACATGGCCAGGTAAGGGGCACCCGCGGTGTATGTAGATGGAAAGGGTCATTCTAAGGTAATAAAAACACAACAGTTCATTATGTAAGGAGGTTCATACACAACTGAAAACATAGATATACTTTTAGTCCCAGGATCTACTTTTCAAGAAACAAAAAGGTTTCTTCAGCTCATTGTTGTGTTTGTTTCCACCGCGGTCAAGACCTGCAGATATTTGGCAAATTAACCAGCTGACGTATATACCATACAAAGCAATGGATAGGCATCATCAGTAACCCACGATCCATGAGCAAAATGTATATGAACATCAGATTCGATTGAACTATAATGAAAAACAATGTGTTTGACCAATAAAAACAGCCTTTTCGTTACAAATTTAATAACAAACTGGATAAAGCCTTCAAGTTCTTAAAAAAAAACATGATGGCAGAGAAAGAAACACAAACATAAAATTGCAACAGTTTGGAAGGTCATTAAAGCATTTCCAATGGACAAGAGCTGCAGATCAGCTGGAAGCACTCAAAGGAGTGTCAAAGGAACATGATTTTAACAGGCTTTATTACCTGTTGTAATCAGCTGGTCCGTTTGTTTTGAAGAAGAGGAGACAGACTTCGGCTCCGTGCAGAAACTTCCTAACTAATGAAAACTCAAAATACTTATTCCGGACACAGTATTTAGCATAGCTCCATTAGCTTTTAGCTGTAAACACAATGCTGCACACTGCTATTTCTGAGCTATAAATACAATGCAAACATACAATATCAGACTTGTGTGCTATCTGACTGTTGATTGTGATTTACTGGTTTATAAAAACTATGGTGGAAAAGAGACGAGCAGTGGTAGAAAACACCCAACATGCTTGATTGAAGTAGCTTCCACTCGACCATTCAGAAATTCACTGCAAGGCAAGCCCCCTCCCCAAAGTACCAGTACTTTCAGAAAGTACTACCACTGAGCAGGGACTGTTGTTGCGGGTAAAATAAAGTCCCTGGAACTAAATTTATACCCTGGTCCCTGCAGTGGAAATGCAATTGGTTCCTCTAAAGGTTCCTACTTCCAGGTTAAAGTTCCTGTGGTGGAAAGGCGGCTTCCCATTTCTATTAACAGATCCTCCTAAATATTACACACTGGACATTTAAGTAAAGGATCTGAATTATACTTCCACCCATAGTCTCCTAGACGAGCACTGGACACCTGAGCCAGCAACAGCTTTTTATACTAACTCTGTGATTCCGCGGTCAGTCCACTATGTGGCGCTAATGCCCTTAAAGCCGTCTGACAAATGCGACACAATAAAATCAAGTGAAGAAGAAAAGGAGCCGTTTGATTGGTGATTGCTAGGGGACAGACAGCTTCAGATCAAGCGCTACTGCTACATCTTTAATTTAGGGCACAAAAAAACACCCCCAACAGCCGTTTTTCATCCCTTGTGGAGCATTGTTTAACTTCTGTCTTGACACAGCTGCTGGACGTTTCTTGGTCTTTGATGGAAGCTAAACCCAGCGGACGCCTGCTGTGTGCTAAACTAGATGATGTAGTTTAGCCTTTTCCTAGTTGTGTGTTTATCAGGTGTGACAGACGAAGCCGAGTCTCTGGGAAGGTAAGAGAGCCACCCTGCTAATGCCTGCAAGCTAGCTGGCCTCACAATTTTATATAAATATTTTCTGGATATCCTCGTTGAGCCCGGTTATTTATGCTAGTAGGCGTAGCATTATCAGCAAAGGTAGCTCTTGTCATGGCAGGTTAGCTGCCAGTGTGTCTGCTGATGCTGGGCCTTTTATGTTGGCTGGCACTGAGGCTTCAAGCTAACGCTGATGACAACACAACTTGGCAAGGAAAAGTATATTTTGCAGCTTTCATGTAGCTGTGCCTGTGTCTTTTCTTTGAGGACCATACACATACGGCCCCAAAGAAATTATGCATACTTCACAACCATATTTTTAAGCATGCTTCAATGTTTATGTAATTATAACTATGTGTATAGCACAAAAAAAAGAGTAATAAAATGTAAACTAAACCAGTAAAATAAATTAAGTAAATAATACATCATGCTAAAACTAAGCATGGTAAGACTACCAGAAAAATGTAAAAGTAGAACACAGAATATAACAATGAAACAATGTGAAGCATACAAAAAAAAAAAAAAACCAATAACAGACTAAAAACATAGTTAAAATGAATTACTGATATATATGATATATTTTATTCAAGGCTGCCTCTATTATCAAACAAGTTTAGATTTTCTATAGTTTAAAGTGATGTAGAAACCAATGTGGTATGACCTTAAATATTCAGTGCAGTAGTACAGTGGCACATTTTCTTGTTTTGACTCTCTACTCCAGCAGGAAATATTTAAAAAGTGTAAATCCTGGAATGCTTAAGCTGAAGCCCAATTAAAAGTTTTTAGTTACTTTCTTACTTACATTGATTTTCTTTTTAGACCATTATCTACTTTCATTTGTTCCTGAGATCAAGAACTTCAAACTGGCTGAAATGGATGAACAAAGTGTCGAGGTATGTATCATGCAGCTAAAGATGCTTTATAATTTACTTCCCTATTGTTTACTACTAATACTAGCAGTTTAGGTGGTGGCTGTATCATACTGTCTGGAGACTGGACAGTGTTTTAGGTGTGGAGAACAGATGGATGATGTAGCCAGATAAAGTGCTGTGACTACTGTAGAGGCAGGAACAGAGAAGTCAAACATTGTTTTAGAAAACACAAGTTTATGCTTGTATGCTAAAAGTACACATTTTAAACCCTGATACCAAATATGAACAGTCCAAAACCAGATTTTAAAGTTAGCAAGAGACTGAGAACATTTAAACTGCAGTCTTGCCAAATTCAGTATTTACTCGTGGTATCAAGACTTGGCCATTACTGGCATCTGGTCTGATGAACAGTGGCTTTAAATGTGAAGAGATGTGAGATAGGGACGCATCTTTAGTAGGATGAATTTGTAAATGATAGTGTGTAGCTCTCTTCTTGTTGCTACTGAGGACCAGCCTACTTTTTCATATACGTTAGTACATAATGATCAGTGTAATGTTTATCTCTTGTAATAAAACACGGGACACAGTATTAAACTGCCTCAAATTAGGATACAGCGAGCACTATGAGAGTTCAAGATATCTCCATAGTCAAGGAGAGTCATGAAGGTTGATTGCACAAAGGTTTTCCTGTCCTCAAGAGAGAAACTTTTTTTTTTTTCCCAGATATATGAAACCCCATTTTTATCTTTATTTTGTGTGCCGTTTTTTCACACGAGGTTTGTAGGTAAGACTGCCATGTAACCATATTTCCGCATATTTAAAAATTGAACAATTTCAGAATTGGTACCATTGTGTGAATGGGAATGGCAGGAAGATATAAGATAGAATTATGGGTTCTTAGAGATATCTGAAGTCTGTAATCCTGACATGGTTTGAGTTGGAAAAGAGTCACGTGCATAGATGATTCTATCATCTGCATAAAAATGCATATCTAAGTCTGTTTTACTCTACACTTATAAAGTACAACTGTACACTCCAACATAATCCAGTAAAACAGCTTTGTAATCCTCATGTCCTTTGTCAAATGTTTGATCTTCAGTCTTTATTGACACTGTATCTGAGTGATGTTGATTCAACTCTGTGGTCATTTCTGTAGCTGTAGTTAGTGCCAAACTGAGCCTTGTCATCTTTCTTCTGTCCCTGTGCAGAGCATCGCAGAGGTGTTTCGCTGCTTCATATGCATGGAGAAACTGAGGGACGCTCGTCTCTGCCCGCACTGCTCCAAACTCTGCTGCTTCAGCTGCATACGAGTAAAAAAATGTTCTTTTGCATACATTTTGATAGCATGCAATTCTTAGTATCTGTTCTGGCAGAACAGGACATACTGTAGACTTGATACTCAGAATACTAGGTAAATACTAATAAAGGTAAAAATTAAGGTTAATTTTGTGAGGTCAAAAGAAAGTACATGTTGCATGCACAGTTTGATACCACTGCTTGTATTAACATTTAGAGCTATTATCATTAAACTGGAACCTCTTGTTTAACAGCGATGGTTGACGGAGCAGAGAGCCCAGTGTCCACACTGTCGGTAAGCGCCTGCTAACACACATCTGCAAACCTTCTTACTGTCTGTCAATGTTCAAACTATGCAACTTCAAAAAACAAGAAACTGGTTAAATTGTTTTCTGTGCTTTGTTGCCATTTCTGAGTATTTGATCGGAATTTGCTTTGATACATAAAACAAAACTAGTAACCTCAGGGCATAACATGACCGCACAGTGACAGTGACATGACCATAGTCAAACAATACAAAGGTAAGATTAATAAAACCGTTGTTCCTTACACAATTATGTGTAGCACTGTGTGTTGTGTAATATAACAGTGTCCTATGAATGAGAATAACACCAACACCACTAGTGTAAAGGTGGAAAACAGCCTCAGCAGATAAGTTGTGTTTCAGTTTCAACAAGTTGGTCCGTTGCTTTTGATATGTTGTAAGGTGTGTGACATGTGGTAAGGTATTAAAATGTATGTCTGTGTACGTCAACACACAGGGCTCCGCTCCAGCTGAGGGAGCTAGTCAACTGTCGCTGGGCAGAGGAGGTCACCCAGCAGCTGGACACTCTGCAGCTCTGCAGCCTCACTAAGCATGAGGACAACGATAAGGACAAGTGAGCATCTCCTACTACTTTCCCACTCTCCGTCTTCTTCTTCACCTGCGTGTTCATGTGGGTTGAAGGATTTCCCATAATTATGAAATGATTGGTTCCCGGTAATAGGTCGCACTCTTCCCGGAATTAATAGCCATAAATGAGATCTGATTTTAACCACAAAACCGCGGATAACTAATTTAAAATATTATGTTTATTCTTATCTTCAGACATTTTTCTTTCATATTAGTTAGTTTATGTGGTGGTAGAACAACAATTTATTTTAACAGGACACTATCTTTGGAAAAACACACTGGCAATCATCTGATCTTCTGCTTAAAATAAAAATGTCCCCACAGCTCTCATGGAGAGGAAACTGTATAAAACTTTCATATCACGATTACAGTAACCAAAATTATCACAGTTATCAGTATTATCACGGTGTTGTTAAAATATGCTGAAAAGTACTGAACCACACACTGAAACCTGTTTTTATATTGAAAACCACAAATAAAATTAGTAGCACGGTGCACTTTTTGTTTGCATAAACATTAAAATGATAACTTTATATAAGCATATGAAAACCATATAAATAAACCATATTTATAAAGTATCTGCAATGCCCCATGCACAGTTAATAAATAATAAATACAAATTAGTCTTAAGAAGATAGTGAAAGCAATTGCAATGAGCCCAACAACTGACATAAATACAGATTTTAAATGAACAAAATATGTTTGTCAGGTGACCAAACTACATAACATGTTATCAGGTGCAATGGGCAAATACAGTAGGCAGACACACCGTGCATACACAGCAGCATAACAACGTGTAGTGTTTTTACTGGAGTAGGTAATACTGACAGCTTCAGTTAACAATGTATTAGCAAGATAGACAAACCATGACATTTTTCCAACATCATGCATTGAGCTTAAAGTTAACTTACCCTGCATTTGCTATTAGTTGTTAGTTTCATAATCAAGTTTCCCTTAGCACTCGAACCAAAAAACCAAAGGAAAATACGTTGTTGTCCTGTGTGCAGAGGAAAACCGTATAACCTATGTAGCTATATTTTTCATCAAGGAGTGGCTTTTTTGCTTACTGTTTATTTGGCATGAGATTTGTTGGGTGGCTTAATAGATTGAGATAGTGTGTCTAAAAAGGAGGGCGCACAGTTGGCAATCCTGAAAACAATAATTTAACACACAGCTGGTCTGTAAACTGCATGGTAGCGGTAATAACACACACACACATGCACACAATTTTAGTAAATACCTAGATCCAAATTCCCGTTATTCCAGTCGATGCTGCTTGTTTTTGTCCTGTGTCTCCTCCAACACATTCCTCATGTTCTTCTTTCCTCTTACCTTACTGTCACCATGTTCATCATAGTCACCCTCTGTCTCCTGTTTTTATGAACTTCATGAGTTTTCATAAACTTTGAAGAAACACTGTAAAGCAAGTAACCAAGTAAAACAGGCCAACGGTTAGAGCAATGGCTGGTTTAAGAAAGTTTCCTCAAAATCTTTTTCTCTCTGTATGACATGTTTGTGTCCTGTCATTGGATTATTCCTTTGCAGATGTGAGAACCACCATGAGAAGCTGAGCGTTTTCTGTTGGACCTGTAAGAAATGCATCTGTCACCAGTGTGCTCTGTGGGGAGGCATGGTAGTGTTTCAAATATTTTATTTTTAGATTACAGTTTGCATGCAATCGCACAAACATATCATACTTTTCAGTTAATCAGTTAATGTCTATAAAATGTCAAAACTTTATTCTAACAGTTCAAACCCCAAGATATTCAGTTTACAATGATAAAACAGAGATAACAGATAAGTGGCAGAATGTCATATTGGATAAACTGGAAGCAGAGAATGATGTTTGTTTTTGTTGTGTCCAGCACGGTGGCCACACCTTCAAGCCTCTGGTGGAGATATACGAGCAGCATGTAACCAAAGTAAAGGAGGAGGTCGCCAAGCTCCGCCGCCGCCTCATGGAGCTTATCAGTCTGGTGCAGGAAGTGGTGAGTACTGCTTGTTTCTTTTATACAAGAAATACCAGGTTATAAAAGACCAAAGGTCGTGCCATTTATTGATCACATTCTCTCTTCTCAGAGGATGAAACCGTTCTATTTTTAACACTCTTATGAGCTTTCCTGTAACACCACCTTCTGGCCAAATTGTCACACAATAGGCCTCAAGGGGAGGTGAATAATATATAGTGGGTGCCCAACTGAGGATGCCGGCGGAGGGAGAATTTTCCTAGCAACTACTGACCTGCCAAAATATGCCAAAAAAGTCATATCTTAAAAAGAAACATTGTCAAACTTCTTAGTAAATTTACCAGTGATGACGATGACATAGTGAACAGAATAGTTTGTTTGTGTTTCACTTTAATTGGGTTTTGTATCCTATTACAATCCATTATATTTCTTAAGTGTTTAATTGTGTTTTACAGATTTCTTTTGAAGTTCAGATAACAGAGTATTGCTGACATCCACTAGATGGCACTAACATGTTGATATTTATTCTGTGAACTGATGTCTGCTCCATGAAGCTGAAGTGTTGAAATCGTACTTGTTGGTCAGCTTGTGTGTGCGTGTGTGTGTGTGTCTGTGGGTCAGGAGAGGAACGTAGAGGCTGTGAGGGGAGCGAAGGACGAGAGGGTCAGAGAGATCCGAAACGCTGTGGAAATGATGATTGCTCGTCTGGACAACCAGCTCAAGAACAAACTCATCACCCTCATGGGTAAGACTCCTGGACACTTGACTGTCACAAAGTACCTTTGTTGATTCTGACTTCATAAGACACACCTATCAGCTAATAAGTGTCTTTTACACAGTGATGGTTTTATTTAGACATTTCTTGTCAGTGAAAGTATTTTTATGCTGGCTACTTTGGTATTTATCAGTAGTTTAAATCTTAACATTGGGTGTTATTAAACCAGAATTTAACAAAACATAACACGTAATTTTACCCACACTATTAAATAACCTTAGTCTTAATTTAAATGAACCAGATTAATGTAAAGACTGCAGCAGCACAATAAACACTGTAATACATTTCTGATGTTCAGAATCATCTTCTGTCCTCAAACAACATAAAATCACCATAAATTCTCCCCTTACATGCAAGTGCATGGATAAATGGATATCCTGCTAAGTGCTTTACACAGAGCATGAGAGTAAATAGGAATTAAGGAGAGTCCCAACATTACGTCTTGTCACTCTTTGCTTGTGCTCTGTCAGTCAAGTGGACAGTAGAATCTCTGGCCAATAAATTCTGACATTTTAGCGCTTTAATGTGTTTTATTGCAGGTACCAAATACTTTGCAAACACGTGGCTCTTACTGTAAATGTCCTGTCGTGTCTGAATAAAGCGACAAGAGACATTAACGTAAAGGTCTCCTACGTCAGAATAACACAAAGCCACCATGCCTGAATACAGCAATGTTATCTAGTCCATGTCTGAATATTGTTGCAAAACACCTTAACTGGCACTGCAGTGTGTAGACACCCTTCTGAAAGCAGTCAGATGCGCCTTTTATAGCTATGGGCAATATACATATGTAATATTTATCTGGACTGAGTGGGTGCATGCACTCAGCGCCCACATACACAACCTGCCCGCTCAACCACTCGCACTCCCCAGCCTGCTTCAGGGCTGACATTCAGCACAAGTACACTGAAAATAGAAATGCGTTCCTCCCCACCAGGCCAGAAGACGTCCTTGACCCAGGAGACGGAGCTGCTGGAGTCTCTCCTGCAGGAGGTGGAGCATCAGGTTGGTAGTCTACAGCAGCTTAAAGCCTCCATTTGTTTAGCTGTACTGCATTGCTGTTTTGTTAGTGGTGTAAAACAGTGTCAGGGGGCCGTAGTGTGTTGTGTTGTTTTGATAGATTACAATAAATATATAAGGTGCATCTTAAATCCCCTCTAATTATCAAAACAATGATCAGATTATATATTTTAATAGTTAAACAGCTGTGTTGTAACTTATTTTAATACCAAATTACTGTATTGTTTAGGGGCAGAAGAACTACAAGCTGGCAGATGAACATATTGGCACACATTTGCTTATTTACACCTCCAGCAGACATGAATTATTATTAATTTAAACTCCTGTTTGTGTCCAGTCGATCCATGTAAGTCCAGTATTCACTCTCCTTTTTTAGCCTTACTTTGCTTCCTGGATTGGTGCAGGGCTGGTAGTGATCAGTGGGTCTGTCAGGGTTTGTTTGTTGAAACGGCTGCATGCTGCTGCTGGAAACAGGATTGATAAGATCAGCGAACCATACAGTAAAGTTGCAAGCTGTGAAATCAAAACAATGAGAGAATTGTTTTCTCTGCAAAGCTGGTGAGAATTCTATGTCAGTTCTTCACTGTAAGCAATTTCTCTCACATTTTGTTTTAGTGGAAGCTTTAATACACTATATGTTTCATGTCGTATTACAGTTTTGGCCCAGCAGACATGTTTTCAAGACTGCGTCTTACAAAGGATATAAGCACTCTTGGGGCAGAGGTTATCTGCCATGTTGCATGTGTGCAACGAATCAGCAGACACATAGTTTGGTTAACTTGCTTATATCAGAAATATTTGGAGCATTAAGATGAATTTTCTAAGGATGCTAATTTAATTTGTTCAGTGGATGAGATCTACACAACTCTTCCTGACAAAAGCTCAGTTATCGATTAAACCATGTTTCCTTCGTCCAGACCAAAAGCAACGTGCCATCATTGATGTTTTAGCTGCATGTTTTGAGGATTTGTTTTTGCTGTTTGTGTGTTGAACAGCTTCACTCATGCAGTAAGAGTGAACTGATCTCCAAGAGCCCAGAGATCCTGCTCATGTTCCAGCAGGTCCATCGGAAACCCATGCAGTCCTTCGTCACCACGCCAGTCCCTCCTGACTTCACCAGGTAATCTGCACATTTTATTTCACATTTATTTATTTTTTCATTTAGACTTTCAGCTGGAAATAGAAAATCGTTGACATTGTTTCTGGCTAAATTATCTAGTTTTCATGTTTGCACTTAGACATTAAGACATAGAAAGGATGCATATTCAGTTATGTTTAATGAATGGGTGAGTGATTATACAGACAGTATGAGTAAACTTCACCTTTATTAAGTGTGTGTGTGTAATCAACCTTCCTCTGTGTACTTTCAGTGAGCTGGTTCCTGCTTATGACTCCAGCAATTTTGTTCTGGTCAACTTCAGGTAAATCTTCTGTTTAGTAGCATTTAGCCATATATAGCAAATATAAAAAATGACTGCAGTACTTTTTAATGTTTATATATTTTGTCAGCTGCATGTGTCTAATAATAGGGTTTTCTGTTGCTCCTTAAACACCATATTTACATTTAGATGACATTGTTTGAAGCAGACGGATGTTGAGCACCGTTTGTGTGCAGTTTTTTTGCACTTTTCATCTTGCATTCAGCAAGTCGGTTGGACAACACTCATACGAACCACTTGGTGTTGAGAATACCTCCACTTTTTAGGGGTGTCTACACTTGTTTTCAGTTGCTGAGTTGTAATTATTTCGAAGATCTAAAGAGAATCATTTGTTTTGAACAAACTTGAAATTTTGATGATGATAATATTCTTATAAAATGTTCAGCTTTGTGGAATTCTGCTGTTTTACCTGCATCTTTAATTAATATTTAAACAGTGTTACTTGATGCCCTTTGCTTGTCGCACAGAGTAGCCAGCACTGGCTGTGTTCACTGTTGCTGTTATAAGTTTGCAAGTTTGAAACTAAATTGAAATGAACAAAGTAGTGGGGTTCTGTGGTTGTTTACAAGAGGATCGGGAGTTCTTTGAATCGGTTTCACGCACTGCTGATTGTATTTCAAGATGATGAAGATCAGGTTTGAGACTCAAACCTGAAGGTCTCCTGTGGTGCCCCAAGAGGTAAATGCTCCAAAAGAGCAAAGTTTATAGGATGCACAATAGCTGCTGCTATCAGTTTGTTAAAAATAACCATAATAACAGCTTCAAATAGGAACACCTTGTCATAGCAGCATATGTTGGTACAGTTGCCAAGTCGGGTCCACAGGATTTGAAATGACTGTGTTTGATATGTGTGTGTTTTCTGTGTGTTTGTAGCACCCTAAGGCAGCGGGCTGACCCGGTCTACAGCCCTCCTCTACAGATATCCGGGCTCTGCTGGAGACTCAAAGTCTATCCAGTGAGTTTTCCTTCTACTAATGTGCCAGTTAGAGAAGTTTAAGGAACACATTTTCAATCTGACTAAGACACCAGGGGTTTTGATAAAGCCATGAAAACAGGATTTCTGTTTAAAAAAAGAAACAGAGTGTGAAGTGGTGAGATAAAAGGATTGTTGTTAGTAGGAAATGTACATCCTGTATGTCTTAAATTTATCAAGTCAATAGGTAAACATGTTGATTTTGCATTAACAAACTTCAGAAGTAATACTTCATATAAAATTATACTTATAAAACAGGGAATGTTAGTATATTGTAAATAAATAAAGACCTGCCTCTAATATAAGCCTGTTTCAAATAAAGTACTAGTTCTCTCTGCGGTAGAGGTAAATAATTATTTATTATATTAATGACCATTGTATTTGCTCTTTTAAACAGGAACACTGATGGATTATGGGAGTACTGGAAGAGTATAGCTTGGATTAGTTAGATTCTATAGCTAACACATAAATGACATACAAATAAATGCACATGATGCATTCTGTGAGCTAAATGTGTGCTGCAAGGCACCGTGACGACGCTCTCTGTCAAAGAGTAAAAAAATATGCATGTGCTCACTATGCCTAGAGGAGACCTGGAGGCTACAATGCAAAATGCAGTTGTTATTAAACCACTACATTGTTTTGTAACATTCAAAGACAAATATCACAGGGTTCCAAAACCAGTGCATGTATGTTAGTAACTCCTGTAATGTGTTTCCTCAGGATGGTAATGGTGTGGTCCGTGGAAACTACCTGTCTGTGTTCTTGGAGCTGTCTGCTGGACTCCCTGAAACATCAAAGTATGACAGTCTTTGGCTTTTTCCAACATAATGTAATTAGTTTATTTTGATGAAAATATCAGAATGATGACACACAGGTACAACAGGGATTTCTCAACCAGCTGAGCTGTTGTTATCATGACAGGATGTCTGATTAGCAAGTTAAATGATCTGTTTTGATGATTGTGAACAGATTACATTAAAGACCACAACAGTGAATTGATCCCACTGACATTTATTGTGTCTGCGTATCCAGGGCCTAATTATATCTTTGTGCTGTAGAGCTTTCATCATTACCATGAACACACACTGTAGTTTATTTCCAGTCAATCCCATATACACTGTCCTGCTGCTGGAAATACTCCTTAGAGCACCAAACGTATATTAATCCGCAGCTGAAAGAGTCTCCAACAAAAAACACTATTTAGACCTGTTTGAGTTAACGTTGGCAAAAAACTATAGCAACCAGCTGTTTCAGGAAATAATTTAGCCTTTTTAAAGTATAGGTTATTGGGACTCGGTGTGTCATTCAGGTGACATTCAAAAATAGAAAAGGAAAACATTTCTAACCTACATGAAAAGAAGGTTCAGTAACATTGATGGAAAGGATGTCAAAGTTTTCAGCAATAGCCAACAGTCTTCTACACGGTCTATCTGCTTTAGCTGAACTTAGCTTCCACATTCCTTCTGGATGAGCTCAAACATGTTCAGTTTGCTGTTGGTTGTTTTACACAACACCATAGAAAAGGTTGCAGACTCCCCGATACCCTACTTCTCTTCACACTTCTCGTTGTGTATTTCCCTGTGTAGTAATGTTGTCTTGGTTCTGTGTAGGTATGAGTACCGTGTGGAGATGGTCCACCAGGCCTCCAGTGACCCAACCAAAAACATTATTCGGGAGTTTGCCTCCGACTTTGAGGTTGGTGAATGCTGGGGCTACAACCGCTTCTTCAGACTGGACCTTCTGGCCAGCGAGGGCTACCTGAACATGCAGACCGACACACTGGTCCTCCGGTAGGCACACACACACACCCCCCATCATCATTCAGTAGAGCATGCTCACCTTCACCACTCTGATATTATAGAAAGTAGCAGCAAAGCAGTTATGTTGCCAAAGGGTAATGGTGTGTAATTGGTTTTCATGTGCGTACTGCACAGCTACCAGGTTCGCTCACCCACCTTCTTCCAGAAGTGCAGAGATCAGTACTGGTACATCAGCCAGTTGGAATCGGCCCAGAGCGGCTACATCCAGCAGATAAACAACCTCAAAGAGGTACACTCTCTGTGTGTGTGTGTGTGTGTGTGTGTGTGTGTGTGTGTGTGTGTGAGAGAGTGTGAATCCATTTGTGTTTTTAGACTTTCATATTGAGATCGGCTCTGTGAAGTCAGGGAATCTGGGTTAGTCTCCGCATTAGAAAGCTCACTGGTGCGTCATACAATTACAGACTCATGTTGTGCATCCAAACATTGTTCAAACACCACAATTACGTGTGTCTGAAAATTCCAGGATCGAAAAACTTCTGTGAATGTTTCTGTAGAAAATGTGGATAGAGGAAGAGGATATCACATTGGGCTGCAACTATTTTTCATTCTCAATTCTCAAATCTACCAGTTATTTTCTCAGTTAATTGATTAATTGTTTTGTTGATAAAACATCAGAAAACGATCCAAGGTGGCATCTTCAAGTCTTGTTTTGTCTGACCAAGAGTCTAAAACAAGTGTGTGTGTGTGTGTGAGAGTGGCTAGCATCTAGCAGTGAAGGCTCTGTCAATCTCCTGGACTGATTCATATTTCTGATTTCAGAGATTGGCCATCGAGCTGTTTCGCCACCAGACGTCGCGCAGCTCCTCACCCCCTGACCTAAGGCTCGCTGCAGGCACCACAGCCTCTGAAAGAGACCCTCGCTCAGTCAAGAGTGACGATGATATCCAGACTACTTTAATCAAGACAAAAAAAGCAGAAGAAGACGAGAGGACCCAGCACGATGACTCTAATGTGAGTTTTAAATACACTGCACCAGACTGCGGTAGCAGCTTATTGCTTCTTACTTTTAGTTGACTGGATCTGCTTACCTAGCTTTACTTTAATGGTTTCCCGCAGTGTTTTGTAGAATACTTGTAGATGTGGATGGTTGGAACATGATTTGTACAGGCTTCATTCCCAGCATTAACAATATACTAAAGATGGGCTCAGTATAGTATTTGATTAACCAAAGGGAAAGAAATGGAGGCTTTCTCAAGGTGTTTTCTCATAACTGCAAGACTTTAGTGAATCCAGTACACAATGCTGTAGGTCAGTGAATTAAAACTGCTGGCTGCTGTTTATTTGTTCATGTCAGTCATGTTTTAATTGAGTGCAAAGAGATATTCTTATAGGAAGTGTAACCAGATTGCAGTTGGTTGCAACAAACAATCGATAGGATCACTTTTGGCTGAGATTGATAATTAATTAAACCATAAAATAGTCTTTTTTTTTTTTTAAAGAGTAAGATTTTAGAAGGAGACATAGCCGTCGGGCCTCTATGGGTTTACAGGTATAAATCTGTAAACCTCTGCCTACATCCAGTATGACAGTTGAGTGGCTCAGCAGGCCAAGCCAGATTATTAGACTGGGTGACGGTACCCTTAAAGAAATGGGGATATTGCTGCTACAAAACCATGAGCTTAGTGTGATCACAATGTCACTGTGTTGTTCAGGAGCTGTCGGACGGTGACTTGGAGGTGGACTGTCTGACAGAGGAGGAGGTGAACCCGCTGGACGGCAGCAGCACCTCGGGGAGCTCCACAGCCACCAGCAACACAGAGGAGAACGACATAGATGAGGAGACCATGTGAGTAGAATGTGTCACGTTTTCTTAATGTAACGTATTGTTGAAATAATCCTTTTAACAAAAAAATATAGCTGTGATTAGAACATGAGGGCCTCAATTTCCTTGCTAAACTGTGGCAGAGGGATGAAAACACAAAGAGGAGATTGTGTATCTTCCTACCTACCTTTTTAATAAAATGTCAATCTGAATAAAATGTACTGTTTGCACAATTACTGAATAAATTACTATTTGTTTGTATGTTTATATTTGTACAGGTCAGGAGAGAATGATGTAGACTTTATTGGGAATCTGGAGACAGAAGAAGGAGAGCTCCCTGATGACTTGGCTGGAGCCACAGGTATAATTCATACACCAATGTAAAATTATTTTTCATATTTCATTATCTATGTAAATCCCACAGTTTATAATTTTTACCCCTGGTGCATAGGAGTGTTAGTTATTTACCTCTGCAGAGGAGATCGGCCAGTGTGGTAGTTAGCAGATACTGTATCCCAAAAACACTGTCCACAGTATTCAGTGAAAGCTTGGCTATGGAGTCGAGGAATAAACCCAAATTATACTTTCTGGGTGTTTTGTTTTGCTCACTGTGGACTCATTTTCACTACTTCTCCATGGAAACAACACAATCATGACTGGAAGTAGATAGAAGTCAAACATGTCTTGTGTGCAGTATTACAGTTATAATGTAATTATTTTATTAATTATTATTATTTAATCATAAAAAATAAAACATGCAGGTTGATTTTCTTTGCTAATGTATTTTACAAAAAATAATGGTATCTATATATACAACATTTTATACTCACATGCAGTCGCATGAATCCTCTCTTCTTCTATCGCACAACCTGCAGGTCAGTCTGAGTCTGGCTGAATTGTTGTCAGGTGTTGGTGTCAGCCGAGTCATTCAAAGCTTCCCAGTTGCGTCGAGGATAATGTTTTTACAGGATCATTAGTGCCAACAGTTTATTTTTTGAATGAGACATAAAATAATAAAGTGATTTTAATGAAATATCACTATTTTAAACTTTCGGCAAATGCTTCGTTCAAGGACTTCTGGAAATGTGAAAATCCAATGATAATTTCAGTTTTTGTTCTTTATAATAAAAAAATAGATTACAAAAAATGTCCATCACAATTTCCCAGAGGCCAAGGTGACACCTTTTGAGATGTTGTTAAAACCCAAAGATATCCAAAGACATTTGTGAAGCTGTAACCATAAAATATTTAATGTCCTGCCTGAAACAAAAGCCCTGTTTTCTCTTCAGTTGAGACAAATAAAAGCCTCAGCCACTATTGGAGAACTTACAGAATCAAATCTACTTGTTGTTTGACTTCTGAACAGAACATAGTGATATGATGGTGGGCCAAAAAGCAGCTCCTTCAGTCTGTTTGACTGTGTTGGTGTTGTAAGGCATGAAGAGGATGAGTCATTGTTGGTGCACTGTACCCCTCGCAGCATGCTGATATAGAAACACTTGGTGTTTGTATGTGTACATGTGTGGGGGCTGTGTGTGTTCAGTCTGTTAGTCGAGCTCACTAAAATGTTGCTGCACATTCTTTAGGTCCCAAAGGGTCATGATTTATTTTTTGTAGTTAAGTGGTGCTTTGATGCTTTTACTGCTACTAGCAGTAAAAACTAACAAGCCTTGTCTAAATTTTATAACTGAGGTTTCGATACAGAATATTTGTCTGGAAAACTTTTATTGAGCATTAACTTGAATTAGCCTTTCACTCTATAGAAATCTTATATCTGACATTAGGCAAAGAGCGAGCGCACAAAGTTATTCAAAGATCTGCACTTTATCAGTTAGCTAAAAACAAATTATATATATATATAAATTTAATTGAATCAAATTATAAATGGACACCATACATGAGGATGTTTGTTTTAACAAAACAAAAATGTAAGAAATAAGTGTTCGAGTACAGCACTGGCCAAAGTCTCCACTGCCACCATCTTATTTTACCATGAATTCTTACATTTGTCAATCAACATTTTGGTCAAAGCCATAACCCTTGCTGTTCCTGAAGAAAAATGCAATTCTAGGTTAAGATATGTTCCTTTATTGATCCCTGTAGGGGAAATTCAAATTCCCCTATAGGCACAGGGGAATGTAGTGCAAAGAGTAAAAGAAAGAATAAAATACAATATAAGTAGAAAAAAAAATCATAAATATATAAAACATACACACTACATGCAATCAAAATCGAGCCATATAAACTCTGTCTTCTGCCCGATCTACAGGTGGATCCAGCTCCAGTGTGCGCTCCTTACATCGCAGTGGTTCTGCTGGTCGCAGTGCCAGTAGTAGCGGAGCTGCTGCCGGTGCTGTTGGACCAGGCGGCGGCGGCGGCAGCAGCAGCCTCCTGGAGATTGACCCGGTCATCTTGATCCAGCTGCTGGATCTAAAGGAACGCAGCAGCGTGGAGTCTCTGTGGGGCCTTCAGCCTCGGCCTCCTGTATCTCTACTGCACAGCCAAGGTCTTTAAATACATTCAGCTCACTAACTGAAAATCATTCCAGCTAAACAGAGAATCGATACTCACACACAGGGCCCCTCCAAAATAAAAAACGCCCTTTGGATGATCACAGTTCTACAGCATCCATAGTTGACAGAGGTTTATCTCTTACAGGGAGACACTTACACAGTTTTTTTACTCTGCTGCTTACATTTGAGAGTAAACAAATGCATGTTTCTTTTCATTTCTCTCCAGTGATTGAGACCATCTCAGATATTCGTGATGGCTACTTTCTGGCATGTGCTTCTTCTAGTTTGTTTTATGCTCTGTCCCGAGGTCGCATAGGCACAACATGAAATGAAATCATCCTCCCCAAATCGCATGCAGCCACAGAGACAGATTGTTTGAACATAAAGCCGGAGTGTTGCAAAGATGGCGCTAGTACTTTAGCGTTGACAAGGCCAACTAACAAAATGTGTGTGGTAACTGATGTAGCAAAATCAAAGAAACTAAATTACAATAACTTACCAATACAATATTAAAGGTATACTGTGGAGTATTTGGCCTCTAGTAGTGCTATGAAGCAATGTTTTTATGTGTGAGTGGGTCTTGGTTTTGTTTGTGTCTCATAACCTTGCATGTGGGCAATGTAGTACACGTTCCTGCCAACTTATTTAACTAAATATCAAATGTATGGGTTGTTATCAATATAAAGAATGTTTATGTAATGGGAAGTGCTGCTTGGTGGCAGCAGGTGGTTCGGTGGTAAGAGAAATCATTTTGTATCCAAATACTGACGGGTTGGATCCTTGCTTTATTTTATTTAATTTTTTTATTCTCTTCAGCTGTTCTCAGTTTCACTCCTTCATTTCTTGAATCCGTTTCTCGTCTCTTCCAGCTCATCCACACTCCAGGAAAGAACGAGAGCGGCGGCCTCAGGTGGTGCGACGATCAGCTCCAGACTCAGGGGTCCTGATCCGCCTCAAGGCTCAGATGGCTGAAGTCCGTAGCAAGATGTCTGATGTCAAGAGTCAAGTGCTGGAGGCTCGGGGGTCTGGAGAGCCCAGGCCTGGCCCATCAGGGGGGTTTAGTGTGGAGGAGGCACCCTCTCACCATGCTGATTCAGAGTTGTCAGCTTGTCGTAAACCTGGTGAGCTGGACCTGCTGGGGAGAGCAGCTGCAGCTCGGTCCAGGCCCTCCCGCCCTGGTGAGGACTGCTACACTGATAATGCTAAAAAAGCTGCTACACAGCTACAGTGCTGAGAGTGTTCCAGTTACTTCATGAAATGTAAACAAACTAAAAATCCTCTCTTTATTTTGCTATCGATACATCCGGTAGTTTCCGTAAGTCTCGTAATCTTTTTTTTTTTTTTTTTTTTTAAGACGTTTTGGTCCAGACATAACAAGCTGTGTAGAAACAAATGGTGGAAAAAGTAGCTGTGGTATGTGCAAAGCCAGCGGTAACAAGACTGAAAAGGAGAGGCCTCAGACAATAAACTCAGCCACCAGACAAACAAATATTTACAGATGCTCGCTCCATCAGCTTAAAATAATGATATGCGTCTACTATGCTGTCTTAATAACTCATTTTCTTGAGTGGCTTATTTAACCAATAATGTGTTATATTATTCAACAGGATCAAAAAACAGCCCTGTGTTAATAAAGAAAACGCAAGGGCCTGTGTTGGTTTGGGCGTGTTGCTTCATGTACTGGGGAGGCAATGAAAAACAATCCAGGAAGTCCAGTTTGACTAATATATTCATGGGTATCTGTATCAAATTTGCATTACAGGAAATGTCAGGAGTTCACCAAATTCATTGGGTTATATCGTCTTGGAGCCATGGCTAAAAAAAAAACCAATGTAATAAGCTACTAATAAAGACTAGCTTCCATTTCTTTTGAATCTCTGGTCTGACCACTCCTTTAGAAATCACTGAAGTATAAATAACTTTCTCTTTTTGTCAGCAGCACAATTGTGTGTCAGAATGAACTAAAATCAAACTGAACATCAAAGCCCTGCTGTGCAGCTTAGTACGGTTGCTACTGAAATAAGGTTATCGGCTGATCTTCTGTTCCTACATAGTTTTCAATTTTTTTCCATCAAAGCAAAATTGAAAGTCAGTATTTGTTGCTTCTGGAGCTCCAACCAACCTGACACCATTGGAATCAATATAAGGGCAGTCCTGAATATTGCTGTAATCATTATTATCTAAGGCATTTATCGTTTTGTGCTGCCACTTTGGATGGTCAGTGGAGGATTTCCACACTAATTTCTCACAGTGCTCAAATTAGCCTTGGGTGCCTTTGGAGCTAGTTTAGAGCACTTCTATACTTTGGTTTATTTATGATACAGATTACTGTTTTTGGCATGGTCTTACCCAGAGTTATTTCATCTCAACAAGCGATGATTGTAACATGTGATTCTACAATTATTTGGTCTCTAGAGCTGAGATAATTACATATTTTCTATGTATTTCTTTTTTTTCTGTGTGCAGCCAGGAAATCTCTGTCCCCTGTCCTAGACAGCAGTGGATCTATGGTTGTGAAGAGGAGGAGTCCAGAGGAGCTGGAGAAGGACCTGAGAGGAGCAGACTTAGCCACAGAGCTCAGCCTGCATCTTAAAGAGGGGCTTGGAGGTGCTGAAGGTCAGTAGTTTTCTAGCTTATGTTACTATTTAAACCTGCATTCATTTCTTTTTTTTGCCCACTTGGAGAAAAAAAACCTGTAAATACAGGTGAGCTTGTTAGCAAACAGTTGCCTATTTACTCATCCAGCAAATCCACTGCAACATTAGCATTCATTTGTCGTGTTCGTGTTTCTCATCTAACTCCTGAGGGAAATATCTGCCTCTTTAGCTGCTAAGCTCTCCGCTATGTTCATCAGCTAGTTGCTGACTGTGTCTGTCTGCTGTGTTGAGAGTAAACCAAAACAGTGAAGTTGTGGGCTAGAAAAACCAAAACAATTAGCACGCAATAAAGCTCTGAACAGCTGAGGGGAACTACTAATTATCTACCTTTTTGTATTACACTTTTGTCAGCCATCCATTGTTAAAACAAAAATTTGATTAGAGCAGCTTTAATGTACAGTTAGTTAGTTTGTTAGATCCCCCAATAGCATCCTCAAGTTCAACAATGAGCGTGGTGGAAATTTAGTTTAGAAGCTCTAACAAATTCACTTAGTGTGCTTAACTGAATCGGGTATCTACTTAATGTATCTTGAAGTATGTCCTTGTTGGAGCTGAAAATATAGTGCTCCAAATAACCTCTGCTTTACCTGGCTCTTACTCTCCTCTGTACTGTTCCAGTGTGACTTAAAATAGTTCCTGAAGTGCTGGTGGCTGCTCTGTGATAAACTGTGGGTTGGTCGAGTACTACATACTCCACCTGACTAAAATTTGTTTCAGTGTGTCAATATTTCAAACAGTGTTTACATCCAAGTTCCAGACATTGACTGTCCTTGTCCAGTTTTTAGAACTTCTTGGATTTCTATTTGACAAATTTGTGCTGCTCATTTGTCATGTCATGTTCTTTAGTTCCTCCAAACGGCTTCTTACCATGGTATGGCCAGCTGCAGCTGCATCTCTATTAAAGAAAAACACTTGTATCTATGTCATCCACACAAGATTAAGTCCAGTTTCCTGAGCAGTTAGTTGTAATCCTTACACCCATCTTCATGAGCCATATAATGATTATTAATTATGGATATTATGGATGGTTTGCATATGACATGAGACCAAACATTGAAATTTTGATAATATAATCAAATAACTGAAACTGACTTGATTATAGTTAACTCCATGGAGTCTGAGGCCATTTTGCTGTTTTTATATTCTGTAGGGAACAAACCTTTTCCAAATAGTCCCCTTAAACTTTTCATATAAATATTATAGTGGAGTGGGCAGTGAATTGGTAAAACCATTTGAATCTGGTCCTTACTGCCAAATGAAAGCACAAGTTGCAGTGTTTCCCACTGGATTTTAAGAGACTATGTTGGGTGGGCCTCAAACCCTCTCATCGGGTGGTCCGGGGGCAAGACCCCCAGAAGAGAATTTTGTACATTTTAAAGTTAAATGCATCAATTTGTTATAAAATTAAGAGGCTGTCTATGAAGAACTTTGTACGCTTGTAAACAATGTTGTGCTCTAATAAACTATTTAATCATAAACCCATTGTATAAATGGTGATGAAACGGCAACAAAAGTCAACAAATTTAGTTAATGTTTTTCCAAAAAGTAATTTCCCTAAAAATTTTTTACTTTTATTGGAAACATGTAATGTCTTTTATACTTTGTGTGAATATAATCCAGTTAATCTTATTTCCATACTGTATAGACACCCTATTTTGAAAAACAGGCGTTGTCACATGTGTATCCTTACGTTAAATTTATTAAGTCCGGCGAGAGTCCAACCCAATTTGATAAATAATGTTGTATGTGGTTCTCGTATGGCGTAACATGAAGACACAGCCTCTCTTCAGGTAGGACTCTCATACTGCAACACTTGTCTTTGTAAAGAGAGAAAATGAATGGATAAAGTCGCTAACCTGCCTGTCAGCTCGCTCTGGGCTGTTTCAGTGGATTTACCATAAAGGCTTTAATACATGTGCACTCCAAATTTAGGCAAGACTAGCTTAATCGCCTTCTCACAAATGAGACTGTTAACGTTACCGTAGTTAGCTCAAAAGAAAAGTGGTTGTCTCAAGTCGGATGCCAAAGTGTGTGAGCGTGCGAGCTTACAGCAATGTAAAATGTTATTATGAGATGTGTAAAAATATTTTCGATTCATTTTGAAACTATGCGCAGCAAATTAGAATATGGCGGGCCACCATGGTCTCATTAATTAATGGGAAACACCAGTACTCTTCCCTAAAACATTGGCACATTATATCAATTTGTATTGATTAAGGTATTTGGTTAAAAATAAGCATCACCATTTGGTCAGAATTATCAGTTTATTATTACAATTTACTCCCCAGAGGATGAACCCTCATCATGAATCTTCTTGTCGTGCTGCCCTCTGGCTAAAATGTGTAATTTTCACCCAGGGTATCAAAGTTCTATAAACCAGATTGCTATTAAGCATCCTGAACACATTCATGCTCCAAAGAAGATGACCCCTCCTGATTTTAATTAACCTTCAGTGACAGGACAAACTTTCTACTTTTAGCCCCACTATTGGTAGAGCTCTAAGGAATGTTTTCAGTCTGACAAGTCCCGAAACTCATGGATCTACAGTTTTACTCCATCTGGACTTGATGGATTGTATTTCATCGTCTCAAGAACCTACCCCCGACTCCCACGCAGCCCTTTGCAGTCTTTTAACACAGTGCTGTTTTTAGTCTGAGTTTGCCTGGATTGATGTGAAAATCACAAAACAAAACAAAATCCATGTTTTTCCATTGAATGACCTTTGCTCCTGTCTCTGCTCCAGGAATGCTGAAGGGCGACATCACCCAGAGCCCCCTTGTTTCTCTCGGCAGCTCATCATCAGAGCAGGCCTCCACTTCCAAGCCGCAGTACTCAGTGGAGCAGCAGCTGTACGGTGCCTCGGGGTCCAGGGATGACATTTACTCTTTGGGAGGACCAAGCTACTTGACTGGCAGCAAGAACTGTGGCAGTAGGACCCTAGGGTGTGTCTCAGACACTCATACACAGGACAAATGCAGCCATTAAGCTACAGCAGATAGCTGTTTTACTCACAGTCAACTCTTCTTGTCTCTCTTTTTCTGCATTGCCTCTCACAAAGACTGTTGCTTCTCTTCCTTTTTTACGTAGGGCGGCCATGTTGGACTGTGAATCTGAAAGCTCAGGAAACTCCCATCAGTCCATAACACCCTCAGTGTCAGTGGAGATAGGTAAAGTCAAAGTATATTGTGTTTTTGGAAAGAGGGGATTATAACAGTTTGACAGATATCTGAGAGGAAGATAATAAAGAAAACAATACTGTGCAGGACTTGAGTCCACTGCAGATGCAGTGCCAGACTGTGATTAACAAAAGCTATTTTGGTTCTGAATCTGTATTTTATTTCTACTTTGTCCTTAAACTTTAATTTCAAACATTACGTTCAATAAAATATTGATAAGGTCTGATGGTCTCATCTCATCCTGTGTTGTCCTGTCTGTAGATCAGTCTCCTTCTATCCTGGTGGCAGCAACAAGCAGTGACAGTGACACTGAGGACGAGGCTCTGCAGAGCAACAACTCTCGCTATGACAACCAGACTCCTCCCTGCACAGGTAACCAACACACACAATGTCCAGGTGAGACACACTCACACACAGAGCGCAACAGTTAAAGCCTGTTTACACTGCGTGATTCTGGGCAGTCCCAGACAAAAGATGACGATCGTGGTGATATCTTTGGTGTGTATTAGTGCCAGCACTATGACCAAAGCTTGTTCAGTGTAGGGCTTTGCAATTAATCGAGTTTTATTTTAAATTACGATTTTGACTTCCATCAATTATGAAAACAAGAGTGTGTGTGTGTGTGTGTGTGTGTGTGTGTGTGTGTGTGTGTGTGTGTGTGTGTGTGTGTGTGTGTGTGTGTGTGTGTGTGTGTGTGTGTGTGTGTACACACACACTGTTGAAAGTTAATAATGATGGATTACTATTTCTTGTTTCATGGGCTATTTGGAATGTTTGGGGTAATACATATAACAATTTAAAATTAAGTTCAATAAATCCATGATGTTAAGTGAATGAGTAATTGTGTTAGTTGTGATCTCCGATAATTATTTTTTGCCATAATTGAGCAGATCTAGTTTAATCTATTTAAATACATGAGAGCCGCGCAGATGAATGAGCAGAATTGATGACATTTATTGTCAGTTTTCCAGTTTGTGTTTTTTTTTACATTTATTTAAAGCACTTCGATTCACCTGGTATTTATTACACCTTCTGACAAGTCTCAAAATTGATATAATACAATCTGACACAGATTCACATTAAGACTATATTAGACTCATCTTGCACCTTGTTACATGCATTGAACTTGGTAGTGTATAGTTTTTTTTTTGCTGTAAACAGCTGAATAAACCAAAACAGGAAACTTGCAGACCAGAAACAACATCTGTCAAGGTCCCATCCAAATTCAGTGCAAGTTTTAACCAAATTTCCAGAAAATGTGCAAAAGGAAATCTGTATTTTCATCCACTATTGTTCTATTAAGAGTCGGTTCATCGAGAGAAACAGTTGATAGAGCTATCAATCAAATACGATGTGGAAAACGTGAAGTAAATATGTCATTTTTCACACAAGTGACTTCTTCTCTTCTTTCTTCCAGGAGAGCAGCTTCTGTCCGATGACATGAGTCTGCCTGCTGACAGGTGATTCCCTCGGAGCCTGTCAGACCTGGAGCCCTGCTGCTTTATCCTCAGTGGCCACACAGCGATGCGATAACGGCCGGAGACAACACACACATGCTAGTTACACAGATCTGTAGAGTAGAAAACTGCTTGTTAACGCATGAAGTTAAAATGAAGAGAGTGCAACAGCTCATATTACTCTTGGTGTCCTGAATATTTACAAAACTGGACCATGACAGAAATCATGGTGATGTCGGCCAGTTATTCAGATGGTTGTGATGGTGTTAAGGAAAATGTTAACTGTTCACATGACTGCATGATATCCAAGTCATTGATATTGTGTGAATACAATCAAACTGCCCTCTTTTTTTAAAAAGAGAATCAACATTTGAATCTTATCCAATTTTTTAAAAGCAGTTTTATGTTTTCACCCTCTTCTTGGTCATTATTATGTAGGGTTGCACATACTTCAATTCTAGGTCAGTTCGGTAAATACGTCAGAGGAAAACATGACCACCACAGCCAAGTGTCTGAATCTCTGTCTGGGGCATAAAAAACGTTGCTTTAGCTTCTTACATTTATTTTGCAAATATGAACTATTAAATTTTTCTTGAATTGCAGGGCATTAAGCCACTTCACACAAATATAAGTGTAGAAATGTTTTTGTAAATGACAAGTTTACAAACATATTTGCAAGAGTCTGAGGAAAAACCGTACATAATCGGTAGCCTGTCAATAAGAGCTTTGTTGTTGATGTTAAATTCAGTTGGTATGGCCTTTAGTCTCCACATCTACGTGACTTCCTTCACCCATGTCTCTGCATTAACCAGCTTTAGTCCTAAAAAGACTTTATTCAACATTCAGTCTTAGTGATGCCGCAGCTTGTCGACTGCATAAATTCATTGCTTTTTTTTTCCTGCCTTGAACGTGTAGTGCTTAAATCGGTTTTCTGGTCATTTGTGTAAATGTCTTCTCTCTTAGTAAGAACGGCAGCAGCAACCACAGTGTCTGTCTTTATGTGACATTTGAAAAGGCTAAATGATCACTGAATCACACGGATTATAAAACTGTCGCTGCAGTGATGAAGCATACTCCAGATCTGACTACATAACAATGTACAAGCAGGTGCTTCGACATCTGCTCGGACATCACTGACCAGAGCTTTAAGTGCACCATACCTGATGGCTTCCACCCACAGAGAGCTACCTTACTACAGTTTATGCACTACACGGCAGAAAAAGTCAGATATTATTATTCATTTGAAAGAGTTTCTGGCAGAGAGCTGAGTGAGAAGATCGATACCACTCTCACATCTGTACGGTAAATATAAAACTTCAGCCTGCAGCTGGTTAGCAAAGCTTAGAAAGCCTGAGACTGGGAAACAGCTAGCCTTGCTATGTCTAAATATAATAAGATCTGCCTCTCCCCTCAGATCCCACTGTGCTGACACTGTGGAGGTAGGAGTCTCTCTCTCTAAATCAACTCTGAATCAGACAGTACTGCTCTCCAAGGGTGGAAACTTTGAGATAGGTTGTACCTCTGGCTACAGTCAAGTGACGTCACCGCAGCTGCTTTCCATCAGTTATCAAACACAAAATACGAAAATAGTATATATATAATATAAATAGGAAATAGAAAGGCTGTGATAACGCTGTGAAAAGAGTCTATACCCGGTTTGTATTTAGTGTAGAAAAAGCACAGCAATTTTATTTTTTAAGGGTTGGTTCACTCAAATTACAAATGAACATGTTCTCACTTCCCTGTAGTTGTATCTCTCATGCAGGTTTTTGTTTTATTTGTCTAAGTTTGGAGCACTCTGCCAGTACAAGAGGGCTGCAACCAGTGGTTGTTTGAATTATTATTTAATTTACCCATTATTTTCTCAATTGTCCTGCAAAGAGCTTTAAAAAAGCACTATATCCCAGAACCCTGGGTGATACTTTTAGATATCCAATGCCAATAATCTTCCTAGATTATTGGCATTTAGTTTGCGGAGCTCTGAAAAATGACAACACAAATGGCAACACATCTTTCCAGAAACACAATGTCCCTGTTACTCTTGATAATACAAAGAACATACTGTCACTAAACAGTTTTCAAAGGAATACTTGGAACTTTTTTCTTCAGTAGAAAGTATTTCAGTTGAAAAAGCTGACATCGTGTTCTATGGAGTACATAGAACAGCGACATTGACTCTGGGGGGGGTAAAAGTCTGGTTAATTTTTCCCATGCCTTGAGCTTTATTTATTGGGCAAGAGGCAGAAATGTTTCCAGACCTGGACGAATAAAACAAAAATCTGCAGGTATTTACTAGTAGAGGTGAGATAAATAATGTTTTTTTGTAATTTGGGTGAATGAACGCCTAACAGCAAAGGTTTAAACATATGTGTAATTATATAACATGCGCTTGGAGCTGCACTGATGGCCCACTGTTTCACTGGCTTTCATCAAAAAGTTCTTGATATAGTGTTTTTCACCTTTAATACACCCAACAAACAGCAAAAACGTGTCAAAGGCTGCTGCAAAATGGTACACTTTATTGGGAGAAAGCACGTGTTCCAGCTGATGAGGCAGAGAACAGAAGTACTTGGAAGTTTAGCAGTTTAACAGACATTTCTGCACTTAGTAAGAGCCATATCTTATTTTGAAGGCCACTTAATCTTTGGATCAAAGAAACAACATTATTGTACACGTCTACAGTCATTAGTTTACTGTGTAAATATCTTGATACAGTTGTGGAGCTTGCTGTACATGTGCCTGAAAGTGCATGGCTTTATTGGCAAGACTGTAGGAGGAAGAACGTTTTTGTTTACACCAAGACATGTCAAGTCACACGGAAATCATCCAGTAGGGTGACCTCTGCAAACCCAGCCCACTTAATCATGTGATTTATGACTTTTGTTACTTGACTTTTCCTTTGTTACTGTTTCTTTACATGTTCACTTACGTGATCAATGCCTGGGAAATGGCTGCCAAGCTCTCTCCGTTTATTAATCTCTTATTTGTGCTTGTTGTGTCAAAAGCTGCTTTTATTTTGAATGTTCTCAGAATGCACTGTGCATTATTTAATGTGTACATTTCATTATTGTGTAATAAATAAAATGTTTTATGATCCTGGAAATGACCAATTTCTTGTGTCTTTTGTCTCCCATTACTTTGTATTTGAATCACAGATGGTGCATCCTCACAACGAGGTAATGTAATGTTTAAATGTTCAAATGTATAATTTAAGGCTTAAAGAATAGTTCCCCTTTATTCTGGGCTCATCATCTTCATTGGTTACAATGAAATAGGAAGTCAGTCTATAAACTGTCAGTGGATGTTTACGATGTACAGTTTTGATTTTAATGTGTCTGTTTTCCTGTTTCTCTTCCAAAACAACTTTAGCTAACATGGGGGTTTGTTTTCAATCCGGCCAGTCGTCTGACTGCTCATGTTTCCTGCCACATTAGATTATTTTTTTTGCAATTTTGCTTAATTCCCAGTTCTCAACAATTAAAGTCCAATGTTATTATTTCAGAAAAATATGCTGTTCAAATGAACAAAAACAATAATATATAGTAACACTTGGGTGTTTTTATCCTTTGAGCTGAAACAATACAAGTAATACAGTAATGGCTTATTTCAGTGTTGGTGGAAAATGTTTTGAGTATTAATCTTTTTATAAAATTTTTTTTTATTCAACACTATCTAAACAGGCAGGTGACCCCTTTTCCAAACCCACCTGTCCTTTACAGCACTGACTTCAGTCGAACAAGTCAGTGTCTTTTGTGTGTCCATGTAAGCTAATGTTAGTTAGCACAACTGCTGATCTTCATAATAATTCAGTCGGCACTCCGCCAATTTTTATATAGACAGTTTAAAAAAAAAAAAAAAGAAGATCAAAATCAAAGCACCAGAATCAACACTTTTGTTTTCTTGTTTTCACTTTTGAGTTCTTCTTCCCTGTCAAAACCTGCCACCTACATAACCCACAATGGAATTGGACTGCTGAAATGTCAGTGTTCTGCTAGTAGCGGCTAATGTAGCCTAAAGCAGACATGTCAGAATAATGGATTTGCAGAATTGTGTTGACACAAGACATCCAGTGATAACTGAAATTATGATTAATTTCAAACAGTTAAAACACATCTTTTGCAGCTCAACGATTGCTTATTTCTACTAAATTATTTTATATGTGAGTGAGAGTTGCATTCAAATTATAAATTGCCACTACAACACCAAAGTGCAGCCACTTTCTCTTGAACACTTTATTTTACAGGTGGATTTAAACATCTGAGGCTAAATGAGTCCAACATGGGGACACTGAGTTGACTGGGCTGAAAGGAGCTTTGACTCTACCAGGACTGTAATTTTTCTACTACAATACAAAGGTATGCCATCAGAACATACAAAAAATATAATCACATAGATGTTAAACATATAGAGGTTTTAGTTGTACTCTAGTGATTTAATATGACACTTTAAAGTTGGGTGACTCACAAGAGACTTATTTTATTTTTGTCAAACTCGCGCAAGCAGAGTCAGAGATATCCCTTTGGATTTCAGTGTGGTTCAAGCTCCAAACTCACTGGATCATACACTACGCCCCTAGTTTGTGACTGTGGCTATTTGATAAAAATGTGTAGTCTGCAGCGATTGGTCAGGTGTGTGCAGGGTTTAAAATTCTCTCTCAAGTCATTTTACATGTGTGCAACAAAGTGCAACACAGGGCAGCATACTAAGATATTTAAGTATGCTTTTTATATTGTATGTAATTCGCTTACCGATTTTTGATTACTTGCTGAGACCTATCATCCATCCCGTCCATATATTTTCCACCCCTTACCCAGGGGTCATCTCACTGTGGCAGCAGGCTTACCATGGTTGCCCAAACATTCCTCTCTAGCCACGTCCTTCAGCTCCTCTTGGTAGTTCCCAAGATGTTCCCTGGGATGTGTAATCCCTCCGACATGTTCTGGGTCTACCTTGGCTTGTGTCACCTTGCTGAAGACCAGGACTCACTTCTTGAACATCACAAATTTCATCACTGAGGGGAAGACACATGCTAATGTGAAACCAAATGTAGCCTACGACTCTCTGGAGGTTGGATGTCAGCCAGCATGTATTAGTCAGGAAGATTCTCTAACAGTGGTTCCACCAGTCAAACCCTGCTGTTCCTTGTTTCCATGCTGAAGGAAGAACCTTCATGTTGTTTCCTTTTCTCCGGATTGCAAGCTAGTTTATCTGTGTAGCACATTTCAACAACACGGCAAAGTGCTTTACATAAAAGCAACATAGTGCAATATAAAATGACATTGAAATACAATGAAAACAAGATAAAACAGGAGAGTAAACATATTAATCCAAAGCCCCACATTTGATTTAATAAAAGGCAGCAGCAAAAAGTAACATCTTCAGCCTTGAATTAAAAGAACTGAGCGTTTCAGCAGACATGCAGTTATTTGAAGATAGATGGTGCATAAACACTAATTGCTGCTTCTCCATGTTTACCTTTGACTCTGGGGACAAAAAGCAGACCTGCCCCTGATGACCGTAGAGGTCTGGATCAGAGATGTATGTTAGCCCTAAACCACTGAGTGCTTTATAAACCACCATTCATATTTTTAAATCAATTCTTTGACAGACAGGCAGCCAGTGTAAATACCTCAAACTGCTGGAATGGAGAGAATAAAGCCAGATTATGAGTGCGGTGAACTGATGAATCTTTTTATAGAAAGAATGTGGAGGACTGCTCACTTTTGTAAAGCTGTTTATGTAACAGCAGACAGCACTGTTCCACATGAAAAGCCTTGTTACAGCATCACATCTCAAACTCTGTGGCTTATAGCATTTTACCCTGCTACATGAAAACAATTTGTTCAGGTTTCATATTATAACAAAAGATGACTTCCTGTGACCTATAATACTAGAGCCTGTTTGGTTTGACCAAGCCAGATTAATAGGTTAGTGAGCTAACCTTTGCTTTACATTATACACAGATTGACGTCAAAGATGGAGCATCTGCGAAGGCACCCACAGCTGTCTGAGGGGATGTTTTGAACAGTACAGCTTGGCAGAATCACAGACAGTAACTGGAGCCAGAAAATCCCAATTGTCTGCAGCTCAGAAGGTACAAGATATGTTGTGAAAAGAAATCAAAAGTTCTGCTACACAAATTTGTAATATCTTTTGTATAATTTGACCTCTTTGGGCCTTGGACAGTTCTGATTTACATGAGCTGTAAGCCTTAAATGTTTAAGAGTTAAACAAAGAAGAAACTTTGAATACTGTATTTCTCTCTGTCTGTATATTACGGAGGAAAATGAACTTTTTCCATGATATTCAATTTTTTAGATGAACCTGAACAATCTTAATTTGAAAAGTAACTACTAGCATGGATGTTCTCATTTAACTCTGTGCCAGAAAGATAATAAGCAATGTCAAAAATATTCCTCTAAGAATGAGTCAGTCATCTAATTCAGTAGAGACTGCTTTTGTCACATTAGAAGTTGCATTTTAATGTTTGAAAACACATTCATGCCACCACCAGAGATACACGGAGTTGACTAAAAATGATCCTTTGTAATTAAATGGAGCTGTGGTGACGTCAGGAGCAGACAGTCGTGCTACTGAGGAGCAGAGACTTCACCTGAGGGGAGAAACCAAACTGACACAGATCACAACTCTTCAGGAAAGAAAAGGCCAGCCAGTGACTTGGTCTAATCTTTATATACATGATAGTCACCAGTTACAATACGTATATTTATATACTACTAACACAGATAATACAGGTACTCAACATGTGTTTCACTGTTTTTTTCTTCTTTTTTTTTTAAACCTAACCTGCGTGTTGAAGAAGAGCCAATCATGGGGTTTGTCTTCATGCCTTCAGGACAAGAAGGAGAGGGCTGCTGTCCTTGACCAATCACAGCCCTCAGTGATCTTATACCCCCAACCCCATTCACATTACATTTGAACAGAGTGCACAGGTCCAAGAGTCCAAACTCCAGGCAAACTTTTCAAATTTACACAAACAGCTGAGGGACGCCGATACAACTGAAAAGCTCTGCCTCTCTTCATCACATACTTCACATTAATTTTTCCATATCATTTAACTAGTTGACCACAGACGTCTTACAGGAGGTGAAGGAGTGTGTGAAGTGAACTTTACCATAGGCAGCAGATTATGACTTCTATTCTCTATAGGAAAAATAAATAGGAAATTGACTACAGAACCTTAGCATTCATGCTCTGTGACCTTTCAAGTATGGCTGACAGAACTGTTTTGCTGCATCCTTCAGCAGAAGACAAACCCTCAGAGAGCCTTTTAATGCAACATCATTATTGCTTACAGAGAAAAAGAAAAAGCCTTTTTTTGTGTGTACAAAGACACACAGTGCAGAACCATGGAGGGCCCTATAGTTAGACAGTGGTTATGGGAGAGCAGAGCTGAACTTCTGCTTGGTTTCATCATCAGGGGAGCGAAAAATCCGACTCAGAGGAAGCTTTAGTGCAAGCACAGCGTGTGTGTGTGTGTGTGTGTGTGTGTGTGTGTGTGTGTGTGTGTGTGTGTGTGTGTGTGTGTGTGTGTGTGTGTGTCTGTGTGGGAGGGGGGTGGGGGGTGCGAGTTTCTCGAGCTTAGGTAGAGGATTTACCAAAAGAAATGATGGTAAACATTTTTATTGCTCATACAGTGACAACTTCTGGCAATTTGCAATATGATGAGTAACACTGTATAACTATTTCACAGGGTTTTGGTGAGAGCAACCCGTGGATCCTTGTCACTGAGCACTGTTCTTGGTTGGTACAGCGCTCCCTCCAATGCAGCTTCGCAGCTGAGCTTCACATCAACACCTCGGACCTGCTGTGAAACTACACCAGTGATTTTTTTGGGGGGGGGGTCTAGCGCTTCACTGCACACAAGTACAACATGCTTTTCCTATGGCAGCACAGAACTGCCAGCATTTAGAAAAAACACAACAATAAAAGACATTGTTATAATGACAAAGCATCTCAAAATAACCATTCTCCTTGTTTAAAAAAGAGAAAAGTTAAACTTGTCATTATAACAAGATCCTGAGGAAATTCTTTCTTCTCTAGAGTTTCCCACCCTGTGTGATCCATGTAAAATATCT